GGAGTGAGTGAGCGGGACTGCTCCAGCTGCTCACTTCTACTTACCAATTAAGGGGCCTCTGAGACTGAGCCCTATGAACCGCTCACTGCCAAGGGAGTAGCGTCCTGGCTCGAGCAGGTAGGCAATAGCCCCAGCCAGAGCTTTTGCTTCTTGCTCATAAGCCCTGCTCAGGAGCCTGGGATCCTGAGTTTGTGGAACACCAGGACATTTTTGGAATCACCTGTTAGTAGCTGGAAGGGGCTCTGTCCCTCTTCCCAAAGCATGGAAGGTTATGGGTGTTCTTTAACACCCTTCTCAGACATCAGGAAATGTTTTCAATAAACAGCAGAAAAGGGTAGCCCTGGATCATAAAGGTCCATAGAGATGGACAGAAGACTGGACCGCACTTCAAGGTGGGTAATAACCAGCCTTACCCAGAAGACGAGCAATGTGGAACCTTCCATTCCCTATCTCTAATACAGAGATTATTACAGTAGACTAAGAAAACAGTGCTTTTCAGAATTGGATACATTTTAAAATACTACTGAAGGGCCGGGGATTTAGCTCAGTGGTTCTAGTGCCTGCCTTGCAAGCACAAGCTCCCAAGTTCAATCCCTGGTACAAAAAAAACTATTGCAAACACATAGCTAAGGTGAAACTACAAAGGAGATACAGTCAAACATTAGAAAAGAAGCCCTGTTGGTAGACTTGAGCATAGCCCCTCTACCCATGGTATGGACTGAGAAAGGATGTCAGTGCAACTAAGACCCAGCTTGGGACTCCAGGGCTGGGTTTGACACCCACACCCAGGCAGGGGGGCTCCCTGCGTGAGTAAGCCCACCACACTAGTGCTGCCCTTTCTGTAACGGCCGAGTGAGGGCGCAGAAGGAGCCATCAGCCCCAGACTACAGGCGGAAACAAGAAAATCCAGCGTACAAATTAGCTCTGCTTACAAAGTGTTGAAACACCCAAGCTGAAAATGCAATGTGAAAACTAGTTCAGAGCCAGTTACCCTGTTAAGAGTCTCAGACTTGGGACCAGAGGGAACATAGGTGGCTGGGGTGGTAGAGGGCAGGCACACCCTCAAATCACAAGGAGGCATGTGTCTGAGATAGCATTCTTCACATTCTCTAGTATTCTGTGTGTGTATTGAAAAGATCTCATTTTTCTCTGAAAAGTAGCATTAAAAAAAAAATCCATTATGGTCCAGAAGACTGCCCACAGAGCCAAGTGGAAGACTTCATATCCAAAAAGCTAGAAGTAAGGGATACCACTTTATGGAATTTAAAAAGCAGACCCGGCTCTGCCCAGTCCACAGAAGTGAAGCCACTTGTTGAATTGGGGTGCCCTGTGACTCAGTCATGCTTGCCCCATTAGCATTCCCTTTATGGGTGAGGACAGGTTACATGGTTGGTTAAAGCTTAACTTAATTACTTTTCAATGAAGATATATTTTTTCCTCTAGAAATTTATATAGTAATAAATTTACAGAGCCAAAGGTAAGATCTGGAGATTACTGGAATGTAGGTAATAGTATGGAAGGGTAAATACAATTGTCCCTCAGTGTCCTTGGCGTTCTGGGGCCCCTCTCAACACTGTCTCCAGATCCATATAAGCTACACACATCTTTCCATATCCTTCACATTCTCTCTACTTGTAATAGTATATAAGTAAGCTGTATTGTTTAGGGAATAATGAGAAGAAAAACTACAATTCAGCCAATTTTTAAAATACTTTTGATTTGTGATTGGTTGAATCTGCAGATGGAGAACTGCAGATAGGGAGGGCCGGCCATGAAATGTATATCAAAAATTAAAGCTGAAGATGAAAGTAGCCCAGGAAGGCCATTTCCTTCCCTGTGGGTCTGCTTATGGAAAAAGGTGAAGGTCATCAATAGCACTCTAGAACCAGGTCACAGGCCTGACATGGTCACACTGGATTGAGCAGTCCCTACCTAGACAGAGGTCAGGGATGTTGATCCAGTGCAGTTGTCTGACCGTGTGCAAATCATATGGCCTCTCTTAGCCTGATTGCCTCCCCCTGAAAAGTGAAGGGCAGGACTAACTGGATAATGCCTAGGACTCCTTTCATTTCCCACTGGGAGCCACAAACCAAGACAACATGAAAGGGATTTGGCTACAAACAGGAAGCCATAACACCAGTCAAGAAAATAATGCCAACATCTCAACTAGCTCAATTAGGAAATTTCCAAAACTCCAAAGGTCAAGATTGAAAACTATCCATGGCTGATGTTAGAGATGGACCATTTTACAGATTAAACAAAATTTCATTTTGCTTTGTCTTATTTCTTTATATAATTGCATTGTCACTTCCAAGAATGCACTCAATTCTCCTGATACCTGATCCTTCACTGCTGTACTTTAAATGTGTCTTCCAAAATTCAGGCGTGGCCAGTGTGGTAAGAGGGCTTTTAAGATATGAGAAGTCATGAGGGCTCACCAGACAACCAAACCTGCCAGCATCTTGATCATGGATTTTCAGCTTTCATAATTGTGAGAAATTATGAATGACCCAGTCTTGGGTATTTTGTTACGGCAGCAGTAAACAGACTAAGACATCCACTAATGTACACAAATGGTTTGAATGAACTGATGAAGACCCAAGTCTGCGGACCACTCATAAAACCATCCTTCTTCTGATGAATCCCTCCTCAACACTTCACTTAACCATCAAGTTAGCAGAGCACAGAAACTTGAGCCTTCTGCCCTGGAAAAACTATAATGTCTTCAGAAGAAAGCGAGGAAGTAATGGACATATACACATTTCCTCTAAAACCCAAGTCATCCTAATTAAAAAACATCCACAAAAGTCTTCCTATAAGTTGTCACTAATGTGAGACTGAAGCTTGGAGGGGATCTGAAAAGCTGGAGCAGCAGAAAAAGCCTAATCTATGGAGCCCAACTGCTCTCTCTGGGAATAACACTGGACTCTGCCTTGAGGATTAGCTCCCACAACCACATTGTTCCTTTTGTACCTCACACAACTTAAGAGCCTTTGCCTGGATAAAGAGGCCAGCCCTTACTGTCTCCCCCAGGCCCAGAGTGAATTCACCCAGCCCACCTGGAAACCCAGCAGCCAGGGAGAACACAGGAGACCCCTCCACGTGTGCATACACTGGGTCAATTTTATTTTCTAATTTTGTGGCTCTCTGAAGGAGTCTAAGTTAGACACAGTAGCAAAGTCATTTTCAAAGTCCTTTCCTCTAACTCTTTAACAACCCCTTCAGAGTTCCATTAATCATTGATAGAGTCAAGGAAAAACAGTAATCACCACTGTACTCTATTTCCACTACCCTCACCCTGCCCAGCTTCAGAAAACTAAAGCTTCAATATTTGATTAGGGAAATGATAAAAAATATTTTCATATAAATACTGCATGCCTAGAGCCACAATCCCCATGCTTTAGACGCCATAAGCAGAATTTAAATTACCAACAAAGTCATCTGACTAGAATAACTAGGATAGACCAAGATTTCTCAGCCTTGGCACTGCTGACATTTTTGGGCTTGGTCATTCTTTGTGATTGGGGGAGAGAGGCTGTACTGTGCCTTGTAGGATATTTAGCAGTATCTTTGACTTCTGCCATTGGATACCAGTAGTACACCCTGTGTATAACCAAACCTGTGATAAAAACTCCTTCAGACATTATCAAATGGCTTCTAGGGGAAAGGAAGCAAAATCTCCACTAGCTAAGAACTAATGGATCAAACCAATTTAACTGTGGTGTTAAGAGGGTGAAAGCCTGCTTAGCTGACAGACTTTAGCCTTAAATCTGCACAAATGTTTTCTAAAGTTAATCACATTCAAGATAATCAATTCTAAAGACAAGCTAGCTGTTCAATCCTATTAATCAAATGATCTTCTTTTTGCCCAATTGTCTAGATTTCATGGTTATGAAGTTTGCTATGCATTCAACATATTTAGTCTCCTGAAAATTAAGTTGTAAGCATAGAAAACATATCTAATTTGGGCTTAAGAAACAGGAGAGGCAGCAGAAAGGGTTGAGCCTCGTTTTATGGTGCAACTGAATAGTTTCTTTGAGGTTGTTGCTTAGGGTCCAAAGAACCTTCTTGGCACATTTCTTTTGGAATCAAACCATGTTTACTTAGCTTTTGAAGTTGTCCGTGGCTGCCAAGAATCCTCAAGACAGTAACCAAAATGGTTGGATGGTATGTACTGGACACTTTTCTAATGTTACAAGGAAAGAAAGATTCAAACATTTCATCTCTTCATCTTATGACTTATTTTCATTCTTACAATTAAGACCTCGTGGCAGATTTTTATGTCCAAAAGTAACAGAAAAAAGGAACAGGATTTCATCTATGACTCCCATCACAAGCTATCAGATCCAACCATGCAAGTCAAATTTTGGCCATGGTCAGAGTTACTTCATTAGAAAATAAAAGATCAAAGACTAAAAAGCATGAAAAAAAATCACTATTTGCCAAAGCTAATGTTTATCTGGATCAAGCCAGTTTATGTAACAAACTAAAAAGTGACAGAGAAAATTTACCTTGCAGATTGTAAAAATTCACTTAGTTAAAAACAGAAGTATTTGCACTTTTACTTACTATGCTGTGACCCCTGACTCCAAAGAAATGTACATTACTAAATTCTCAGTGGCTTCATCATACTGAAAGAAATCTCAAGATGACCTGGTTTCCTGGTCACCTGCATTACAGGTAATCCACTGTTAAGTAATCCTTTCAAAATGGCCTATTTGACTGTTTAAGGAGCTTTCCAATTCCACAGTCCTATAAATGACCTTAATAACAAATTCATGGTTCACTGGAAGTACTGGCCAAACTTCAACAACATTACACTTTGAAGAGCCTGTCACCAAGCTCTTGATTCCAGGACATCGGCAGGTTCTTAGCACCGTGTGGCTCCTGCCACCTCCCAAGAGAAAGTAGGTCCCATTCCATGACAATAAGCCTACACCAACCCTGACAATGGTTAAGGTCTCCATCAAGGAAAGAAGACATCATCACACCAAAGTAAACATTTTTAGATCATTGCTTTATTTCACTATTGTTCAACAACAAAGTTCATTCCTCTCAAGATGGATCTTGAATTATTCCTTGTGTTCTCGTCCTCATTCTGAATAAAAAAGGTAATGAAGAAAAAGCCTGTACTTTTGGAGACCTAGAATCTTATTTATGCTAATAAGCTTTTGACTGTGATTTCCTGTTACGATATCTCCTGCTGGCATCTTGGTGGTCACATGGGGCTCTCCACCCTCCAGAGAAGATGGCTGTCCACAGCTACCACCATTGAAACCAAAAGTAAGAGTTGAAAAATGCACCTTTTACAATAAAAAAGTAGAAACCAATTCAATTTCCTTTTTTTTTTTTTTTTTACGAATATAAAGTTTCTTGTAAATATGTACAGTCTTTAGAGCTAGGTTCTATATAGCAGGAAGCATTTCACAAATGAGACACACAATATACATTTTCAGGGCTCAAGATGCCCATTTCTCATGGAGATCCTAAATGAAATGCCAAGACTGAAAGACCAATTATCAGTGACCTTTCCAAATACTTGTGGACCAAGAGACAAAAACTTCAGCAAACATTCAATCAAATCTGCCCTGGGGGAGGGGAGGGAGGGAATATGACCCCAAAGACTCCAAGCAACACATAAAACACAACAGCAGGACACTTGCCAAAGGTGCTATGACATGGAGGTTCATGAGCATTTCAAACAAGAAAGCACTTAGGTTAAGAGACAAGCAGGAAGGAGCCAGTATTTGGGCCAGGTTGCAATCTGGAAAGTGACCTGAACTGTGGACATATGGGTTGAAGACACAGTCACGTTCACCTGCCGTGGTGGAAACAGGTCTGCCTTTCAGCCTACCTAGGATGTGCCTTGGTTGTTGAGGCATGCCTGCCTAAGAGTTATGGAGAATCCAAAGCATGAGAGGCCTTGTGGGAGATTAAAGGCAGAAATAAGGCCGCTAGTTAGCTTGCCAACTGCAAAGCCTCTAGGTTGGTTCTAAACCAGTTGCCAGGAATCCCACACTCTAAAAGAGGGCAGAGAGAAACAGGGTGAGCCGCACTGCACCTAAGGGGGACTTGCCAACCCTGTAGGGCTGGAAGAGTTGAGCTACGGCTTCTCTCTCCAACGTCCTGGTCTTAGGTCTAGCCCTAGGGAAAGGCTCATTTGAGAAGTCACAGTTTTGTGGGGTAGAACCGTGCTGGATCTTGTGTGAACATGGAGTCATCCACAGGGAACTCAGCAGGGAAGTGTGAAGGTCAGAGGAGAAATTGAGTGAGAGGTGGTGGTTTGCTGAAATCCTTCTCTGGTCGTAAGGCTTGAGCGTTTTATTTGTTTGATCAGTGCTACAGGCTGCAGCTTGTTGTGGCTAGTTAGTTGGCAAGTCATCAGAGGGTCTCAATTTGGCGGGAGCTATGGGATGGTATCAGTACATTGGCAGAGCAACCCAGGGGGTCAGCCAGGTCAGGGGACAGCACATGCAGTGAACCGCCATGCAGAGCTCCTGGACGGGTGTCCTCCCCCTCCCAGAGTGGGGAGCAACACACTGTCAGGGGACAGGAGGTAGGTGCCCTGTCCCCTCCCCAACCCCAAGGCCCATTAATGCTGGGCCTGGAGCAAGTCTATTGCATGCTTTCCTGGCCAAAGCCACATGGACAGTGGGGACAGGAGGCTGGGTGGATGACACTGAGGGGCAGGGAAAGAAAGCTCAGTGAGGTCCCTTGGCCCCAGGTCACTGCCTCCAAGCTGAGGCCTGATGACCTCCATACATTCTCAGCTGGTGGGAGGGGAAGTGTTCAAGGCCATAGAAGGCAACGAGAACAGTAAACATTTGGCTATGATGTCACCCTGGGTAAAACAGGGCCATCTATGAGAATAGACTGGAACAAGAATGAAGCTACATTAATCAGGGGGTTAGCCAACTGATGGGGACTCTTCTACACTACATTTCAGTGGCAAAGACCTGAGGGTGTGATCTAAGCTAAAAATGACTACAACAGGAAATGCATTGCTATTCAAATCTATTAAGAATTCTCTTGTTTTTAAAAAAAGAAAAAAGAAAGAGAGAGAGAAGGAAAGAAAAGAAAAGGAAAGAAAGAAAAAATAGGAAAAGAAAAGAAATGAAACCAAAAGAAAAACCAACCAACCCTAGGGTCTTGAAGTAGCTAATTAGGATTCTAATCACATAGTTGGTGTCTGGTTGGTTCCTTTGACGAACTGGTACAGGCTAGAGCTAGGTACAAAAGTTTATGAATGCTTTGAAAGAGTAACAAAGTGCAAAGAAGATGACTGCAGGAAGGTGCCCAGGAGGCACCGAGCTCTGACTGCTCCAAAGAGCCTCGGCCACCTGCCCCTCCTGGAGACAGAGATGTCTGTGCCGAGATGGGTCTGAGTATAGATGTGCCATGGGGTGGCCGAGTGGACAGGTGCTGGGACCCCCTGCAGTGGAGTTCCATAGTGTGTTTGGTGTTTTCCTGCAGACTGAGATGAGGAGTTGGTTTTTCTGGCTGAGATTTATACTGAAGACTGGTCCCAGACCTAGAAGCAAATAAAAATAAGGAGAAGAGATTTTAACCTCCAAAGCCAAAAACTGCTGGGCTTGCTTTACATAATCCAGACAGGGATTTGTAGCACCCAGTCTGTCCATTCAGCAGTTAACAGTGAGTGCAGGGCAGCACCAACTCATGGAGCTGGCCCTCAATGCCTGGGATCAATCAGGGAAAGTCACTGAAAACTCCCAAATCTGCGAACACGTGACACACACACACAGAATTTTACTGGTAAATCAGAAGGAATAGGAAAAAAAACATCTGAATGGTTTTTCCTCCTTTCTTTTGCAGCAAAGTGCCAAAGATTGAACTGCGAGTGGCGTTAGAAAGAGAATGCCATCCAAAAAACCAGCTGCAGGGGGCAGAAAGGTGGCTGTCCAGAGTGGGCTCCAGGGACTGGCTCTCCTGCACTGAAGTCACCAAACACTTGGCTGTGTCCTGCTCACGGGAGCCCCCTGCAAACACATCAACCTATATCCGCAATCACTAACCTAAAAAATACTGGTAATACGTGAACATGATTTAAAATTTTCAAAAAGTTCTTCTAGAACCAAGTTCTTCTAGAAGGCAAACAGGAGTTTTTGTGTAGCCTTTCAGAAAAAAATCCCACATATACATATGTGTATTTGTATGTGTGTCTGAAAAAAGCCATAGAACACTGTTTAGCATGCTATAGTTTGTTTAAGAGCGGGGAACACATCCACATTTGCTTGTATGTACAGAATATCTCTAGAAGCTGCTAACACTTCTCTCGGGGAAAGGGAACAAGATACCCTTTGGTACCTAGGATATACCTGTTACAAGTACATATCCTCCTTATAATCATACACACATTATCTGATTGCTTAGGAAGCCCTTTCCCTAAGTAAAGTACAGACTCCTCTTGAACTCACATGTCCCACAAAGCTTGATTCCAACAATGCAATCCCTTTTTATAGCAGTGGCCCTGAGGGGGTATCAGCTCTCCAGGTCACCCCTGCAGCCTCAGGATATTGCCTCACCTTGTTAACCTGGGACAGCGGGGTCCTCACGGCTCCTACAGGCAGCCGGCCCCTGCTGCTGTCTTCAAACAGCCTCCCAGGGGACCGCTCCCTCCTCGTGCTCAGCATCCGGCCCGGGGACTTCTCACGCTCCAGGGGGCGGCCGGGAGACTTGTCCCTGCGCAGCTCTGTTCGCCCCTCACGGTAGCGGTGGGGTGTGCTTGGCTCTCGGGGGTGGCTGGGGCCTTCCGGTGGTGCTGGGCTGGAGGCCACACGCTTGGTGATGTGCTCATTGTACGTCGGTGGGCCTCGCTTGTTGGGGCTGCTGGCAACAAGACAAGGAGACAGGGAGCTGAGGAGTCACAACCCCAATGGGACACTTCCCTTCTCTGAGCAAGCTCCAGGCCCCAGCATCACCACTGTTTATTAGAAAGAGATCAGACCTGGAATTCAGACTTCCTGTTTGGTTTATTTTAGTGGTGAAGACAGGCAAGAGAACAAAGATTACAACAACAACCAAAAAACCAAGCATCCTGGTTGCAATGCAAGCTTTAATTTACTGTGTGCCTATTGTGTGCTGGGCCCCGCACTAAGCTCTTTCCATGCATTACCTTATCGTCTAGTTCAACCATAGTTTAAATCTAGTTAAATCCACAGCTCTATGAGCTACAGGCAAGTATGACCCTCACTTTACAGACAAGAACGAGGAGACAGGTGACTTGCCTGAGTGGCAGAGGCGGGGTTCCAATGAGGCCAGCTTGACAATATAAACCTCATACTATATCCTACTGACCTGGTATTTTCCAAAGCCAAGAAGAGACAGAAGTCTTCCTTTAAGGATCAAACCTGTTTCACCCCAGAAGTCAGGGATCCACCAAGGCCCTTAATGCAAAGCAATAGTTGGAGAAAGCTTGTGCTTGTCACTGTCAGCTGCCACATCTGTCTCACTCCTGGGCCTGGTATTTGGTCACCTTCCCTGAAAGTGGCTGTCCGAGAGTCTTTGGCACTTGATGAAAATGTGGATGCTCAGAATATGGATGATCCTCAGTCATGGTGTTAAGATGACTGAGAGGCTGTAGGGCTCAGACCTGATACAGTTAGGAAACTGAACAGGGCAGACAACAGTCTAGCTGTCTTAAAAAATGTCCCTGGCCTCCAGAGGTTGAAGGTAACAACGCAAGAGTTGAAAACATCGGGAACTTTTTTTTCTTTTGTGTGCATGCGTGCGTGTATGTTCATTGGAATCAAACCCAGGGCTTCGTGCATATGAAGGCAAATGCTCTATCTCTGAGGCATACCCCAGGTCCCCTTTTATATAACCAGTCCAACCCTCCCCTTGGTCCTGACCTGCATATTTCAAATGAGGATTTTTTTCAGACCCATGGCCCTAACTACCTCTCTGAAGAAGCCAGGTTCAGAAACAGAGAGGTTGGTGAACAGAGACCATGCTATAAATGGTCAATTTAGTATAACCAGCTGCATGTCATTCCCCTGTAACTCTTAACTGTGGAACTGATTCAGATAAATGCTCACAAGGCTGGCACCTTTTTGTGCTGTCTGTGTAGCAGTAAAATTTGAGATAACTCAGATTTCAATGTCTGGAAATCAAGGTTAATATGCACCTCTAGCCATATAGCTTTGAGATATGGAAGGCAAGTAAAAAGATTAAGTCCAAGGAGGAGAGCTACATTAAGCCTATTTGTAATGGGAGAGAAATTATGGAATATGTCCGCAGGGGCCCATCGTAAAGCAAGTGGGACGGTGCTTGCTCCCTGCCCGGGGGGAGACTGGCTGGCTCAGGGAAGACCATTCAGGACATCGGCTTAGATTAACGGGAGGAAAGGAAACACTCATCATTCGAAGCCAAGTGGGCAATCTTCCATCTACATATCCATTAATGACCAATGATCTACCACATCCAGTCTGCAAAGAGTTATGTTTCCTGCTCTGTTAAACAGACCAGGAAAATGAGGCCTGCACTGAATCACACCCAGCCAAAGCAGCCTTCTGCAGTTTGATCTGCCCAAAGCCATCAGCAGCAAAAGGACCATTGTGTAAGGCAACTAAGAATTAACTGATTTTCCAGACATGCCTGGCAGCAAGCAGGGAAGCAAACACATTATTTCTGCCCCTTGCTCACTGCTTTTGGAACCGCTTTCAATCACAGAATAAGCAATTCCCTACATGGAACACAGAGCCCCAAAAGCAAGGTATCTGGCCATCTAACCTGTGAAGAAATGGAGGAGAAATTCTTAATTGTAATACTTTGATTTGTCTCTGGCATGACTTGGAAATTAGTCAGAGAAGATCTAGATATTTCAGAGGAGGAGGATGGAGCACTGGGCAGTCTCTCTGAGGTAGGATCAAGCCAAAGGAGTTAGGAACATCCAGTTATTGGCACTGTGATTTTTCAGCGAGTTCCTAGAATTAAAACCTGCTGACCAAACATTTCAAGTTCACTCCAATACATCAATAAAAGAAAGTTGACTTGTTAGAACATAGTGACAGAATATTAGACAGATGTCTGTCTTTTCTATTTTGTAATGGAGTTGGTTCTTCCACCAAAGTAAGAGCCCCTGGAGAACAAGGAACTCATCTTCCCCACCTCTGTATCCAGAGCTCCAGACATTGCACTTAGCCTGGCAGGGGGTTCACATAGCTATTTAGAGGGTAGACATGCAGGGCTGGTAAATCAACCCAGAAAATTAAAATTCTAGGTCTATTAAATACTCCTCTGGGTTAAATAACCTCAGACCTTTTGAGACCAAGGCGTCCAGATTCCTTCACATCACCCTGGCTCTGGCTCTAGCTCTTTGTGTCAAGACGAGGACAGTTCCACTTCTAACACTGCTGGTGGGATGACAAATGGGTGCAGCAGGCTGGGGATTTAGCTCAGTGGCACCTCACCTGCCTGGCAAGCACAAAGTCCTAAGTTCAATTCCCGGTACCAGGGAAAAAATAAAATAAAATAAAACAAACGGGTGCAGCCTCCAGGGAGGAAAAGTCAGCAACACCTAACAGAACTGCAAATACACATCTGATGACACCCATCAATTTCTCTTCTACAGCTTTATCTTGCACATAGATTTTACAGATGCAAAATGATGTAAGATCGGTCATTTACTCCAGCAACAGATTAGAAACAGCCTAAATTTCCACTGCTGAAGGAACATTTAAATAAATTGAGGTTACGGTTGTGTGAAGGAATGTGATGCAGGCATTAAATAAAAAATGAAGGGGTACTTCATACACTGACATGAACCCATATCCAAGACACACTAAGGTACAGGAGAACACACAGAATATGCTACCGCTTGTACAAGAAGGACGAAGAAGAGCATTTCCAGGATGGCAAAGGAAGGGCCTCTGAGAATCTGTTTCTCCATAAAAACAACAGGTACCCTGGTAAAAATGGTCAAAATCAACTTTTCAAAATTCTGGAAATATAGTTCTTCAAGCTCTCTTGAGGCATGACCAAACCAAAAGAGACATGCCTGGTTATTTGACACTTCTGCTTTTCCAGCAAGTTCCTAAGGTTAAAACCACACTGAGCAGGGCTGTGGGTGTGGCTCAGTAGTAGAGCATGCCCCTAGCATGGGCAAGGTTCTTGGTTCAATCCCCAGTACAGCAAAAACGAAATAAATCACATTGACCGAGTATGTTGTAAAAATCGGTTGCAAAAATTTGAACACTGTTTATGTAAGAAAAACAACTGAATCTCAAAACAGCAACCTCTGTGACACTTATACTGTACCCATGCCCCCCCCTCTAGATCTGTGGTAAAGTTGAAATCAACAGACTTGTAACCACACACAGCAGCTGTGAAAACCTGCAGTCTAGCAAACACTGGAGGCAGTAGGTAGAGGCTCTTCAGAAAACTGGCAATGTCTGACATGTCCTGGGAAAGACTTGTTCTCAGAGCTTGTGTGGTAAGGAAAGCCCTTTGCCCAGGCAAAAACAAGCGGGAACAACTGCTAAAGGTGGCAAGTGACTCCGGCAGTCAGGCCAGCTGGGGAAAACAAGGTTTCTTCTGGGGGTGATAAAAATGTTCTAAAATTAAACTGTGGTGATGGTTGCACAAACCTGTGAATTTACTACAAACCACTGAATTTACATATTAAAAGGAAGGTTTTATGGTATGCAAATGATCTCAATAAGGAACGTGCTGTGGCTTGGATATGGTGTGTGTCCCCTAAAGATTCAAGTGGTGGCATTTAATCCCCATTTCAAGGTACTAAAAGGGTGAGAACCTAATCCAACTACACAGTTTAGAGGTGGAGCCTTTGGGAAGTCATGAGGGTTGGACAGAGATCGGAAGAGGCACACATACATGTGCTCCTGTCTCTTGTCATGTGATGTCCTGAGCCACCAAAGGACTCTGGCAGCAAGAAGGCTGTCAGTGGATGTGAGCCCCAAACCTTGGACCAGAATCATGAGCCTATTTTATTTATAAGCTACTTAGCTTCAGGCAATTCATTCTAACAACACAAAACAGATCAACACAGAAGTTATTTTTTCAAAAAAGTGTATTTTTCATACAGTATATTTTTCATATACACATGCACACACGTACACACACACACACACACACACACGTACAAGGTGTCTTAAGTGGAAACAAAACTTTAAAAATGTATTCCTTCCAGGGCAGGAACCTGGGCAGTGGTGGGTGAAGTGAGCTGAGAGAAATGAGCCAGAAGAGAAGTTATGCATGGAGGAACATGCTTATAGTCCCAGCTACTCAGGAGGCTGAGACAGGAGGATTGCTTGAGCCTGGGAATTCAGGCCCAGCCTATGTAACATAGCAAGACCTCATCTCTTAAAAAAAAAAAAAAGAAGAAGACAGACTTTGTACTATACACTCCTTTGAACTCTGTACCATGGAATTGGATCACCAATTCAAAACTAAGTAAAAATTTAAAAAATAAGAAGAAGAATTATCACTCCGATTGTGATCAGGAGATTTTGAACTCTGTGAAATCCCAGGTCACTCTCGTCACTTCTCACCTGCGGATCTCCATCCCTGACAAGCCTTTCCCTCCTGCCCAAGCACTCCTGCCTTCCCTCGCACCACTCTGTAGCTCATTTCTTCCAGAAAGTCCTCCCTGGCCCCCAGATAAAAGCTGCAAACCCCTCCCCTGAGTCTCTACAGTGCTTACACTACCACCAACAGGGGTGTCATGCCTGAAGTTGCTTGTCTCTCTCATCCAGCTTTAAGCTGCATATGCTTATTCAATACTGTACCTCTCCCCATAAGCCCAACAACAGCAAAGTATTCGCTAAAGTATGAAGCATAATCCATGCTCCATTGCTAATAACACCACTGAAAATACCTACCAAAGGAGATGGGACAGGTCCCTTCCAACTTATAAAGGAGTCTTTTGCCATATTCCTTGTGCTTCTGAAGGCCTGTGCCATTTCAGGGTCACAGATCTCAAAGAAATGAGTGGTTTGTGGTTGAGGACAAGGCAAAGATTCAGAAACTTTCAACCAGCTTAGCAAGATTTCCTTCTGCTTTGCACGACAGTGCTCTCCTCCCCCAGGGAAGAAAGGGAAAGGTTTGGTACCTGCGGGAGGTGGAGGGAACCCGGTGGTGCTCGGTGCCGGACTCCTTCACAAGGTTTCCTTTGCAGCAAATGACCCTTAATTTATCCTGGTATGAGGAGGCCAGGTAAATCGCTCCAGAGGAAATTGCAGGACCCAAGTAGCGTGGGTTTGGGATTTCCAAATAGGCTCGGGCAGGGGTCCTGCAGAGTTCCAGACATTCAGTGCAAGTTACCTCCATCACTAGGCAGGAAAGGAAGAAACACACACTCCACCCCAAGACCCCGTCCCAATAGCTGGAGACATCAAAGCACGCACAGGCAATGCTTACCCCAGCGAGGAGCGTGCCTGGATCTCAATGACTTCAAGTGAGTTGAAGTGGGTCACAAACAGATAGGGTTCTCTGTAGGCTGCATGGTCACCATGGAGGAAAGGTGTAGGGCAAAGAAGGGTTGAAAGAGAGAAAATCAAATCCTGGTTGCAATGCATTCTTTGACCCAGCAATCCCAGAGTTACTTCCATGTGTCAGCTTAATAGTGGATGACCATGTTTATTCACTGTCATGTTTGTTAAGGCAGAAAATAGGAACCTACTCAAATGCATATCTTAAGCTGATAGAATTCTGCACAGCTATAAAAATGCATTATAAAGCTCTCTATGTACTGCTATGAAAAATACTCAAGTATATTTCTCAATGCAAATATAAAGCAGTTTAGAATAATATGTAAAATGTGCTACCTTATTGATTTTAAAAAGGGGGGAGGAGCCTGGGGGTGTGGTTCAGTGGTAGCTGCAAAAAGCAACAAAAAAAGAAGGTGGGAATAAGAATATACATTTTTACATGCTTATATTTGCATAAAGCATTGGAAGAATAAGAAACTTACAAAAGTGGTTTGTTTTTTTTCTTTAGGGGAGTTGTGATAGAGAATGAAGGAGACAGGAATACGAATGAGAATTTTCCTTATATACTGATTTAAACTGATTCTATAAATATACAGTAGTGCACAGCTGTAATCCCAGCAAATTTGAGGCCAGTCTGGGCAATTTAGTGACTTAGCGAGACCCTTTCTCTAAATAAAAAGATTTTAAAAAGAACTGGGGATATAACTCAGTCCAAAAGGCCCTGGGTTCAATTCCCAGTACCAAACAAAAACAAAAACAAGCAAACAACAACAACAACAAAAACTGAGTTCATAGATAATTACATACTTTCTGTTCTTTTTTTTTTTTTTTGGTACCAAGGATCGAACTTGGGACTTTGCACTTGCGAGGCAGGTGGCGGAACCACTGAGCTAAATCCCTGGTGAGATACTTTCTGTTCTTAATACTCTATATCTGTTATCAATGTCGTGGAAACTAGAGAGTATACAGATGAGTTTTGCGTCCTGCCTTAAAGGGAAAAGGTGATTAGTGCATTATCCCTGTGCAAACCATTATTTTGCTATCAGGCTCTCAGTCATGTGTCTCAGTCCTCAGGTGGCCTCCCTCCCTTGAGGCTGTTTGTCAGACTTTCTAGTGACCCCAGGGGACCCTGCCGGCACCACACAGAGAAATGTCCAGCCAAGCAACAGAATCATGAGCAATGATAGCCTATTGTTTTAACTCACCATGTTTGGGAAATGGCTTATTATGTAGCAATAGATAAATAAAATAGCCTCGAAGGGTATTTCAGCCCCAGTACTGTTTCAGAACATTCATACAGACAGCTGTGTACATATGTGTATGTGTGTGCATGCTTACACTTTCACCTAGAAGCTCCACATTTAGAAACTCATGATCAGGGGCTACTGTCTGACAAGTGTACAAAGTAGTACGAGGATGTTCATCGGTGCTAACTACACTTATAAAAACAATAGGCATGACCTAATTGTTCTGCCTGATTAGACTGGTTAAATTAATCCCATGTTCACCTGTGCCATGGGATACTATGCAGCCTTTGGGAATGACTTAAAACACCCTCCATAGGGAATGGTCTCCTTTTTATCATGGGAGCTTTGCACAAGTTTCACAGGGGCTGAACTGGGGCCTAACTGATCTAGCTTATGCAAATATTCATTAAGCCTCAGAATCTTCTGCTGTGGACATTTATTTAGGTGTCTAATGGAATCCACAAGCACAGGACTGAAGCCAAGAAGGATGCCACCTGTAATTCTTTCCCAGGACACCAGCTGGTGGCAACAGAGGAACCCCACACTGCGCCTCACGTACCAAAGGCCAAAGGCAAGCGACTCCACTTGAGATCATCTGTGCGGCTACGTCTTCCGTAAGAATCCACGAATACCCCAAATTCTGCAAGGGGTCAAGAGCACGGGGGCATTAGCACCAGAGGGGGGGCCATCAGTGACACACACTGTGACTGAGCCCAGGGGACATCGAGCCAGCTTTGGCTGGATTGCTAAAACCAGGGGACCTCTGCTGAGTTATTCCCAGTTTGATTAAAAAGAAGAATATTTTAATTTTAAAATCTTTAAATTTAGTACACTTTTTTTTAAAAAAAGAAAGAGGATTCAAGTGAAAGGGAGGGAGGCATGGAGGAAAGAAGGAACAGAAAGAGAGGGAGAGACAGAAAGATCCACAGGTTTAAAAAACAATTTTTTTGGCCAGGGATTTAGCTCAGTGGCATCGTCACGCCTGCCTGGCAAGTGCAAGGTCCTGAGTTCGATCCCCGGTTCCAAAAACAAAAAAAAACAATTTTTTTAAGGAAAGAAAATATCAAAAGAAAAAGAAGGAAGGTGCCAGAGAAAGAAAGGTGAGGAAGAGAGAGAAAGGAAAAGGAAAAGAGCAAGGATGAAGAAGGAAGCACTGGCTGCTTTTTGGAGAGAATGTAATGGAGTTGGGCCAGGTTAGTGCCAGGAAGGAGCCCTTGAGGGCCTCAGGGGTGCTGAATGGCACCCTCTGCACCTGCGCCAAGACCAGCCCTGGCCCAAAGCCCCACTGCCAGGCCCCAACCCGACAGACCCAGGCGCAGCCTCAGTGACTCACCGTGGAAGCACAGCAGGTACTCCTCTCGCTGCCCTGCGCTGTTCACCTGAACGATTGAGACAGGGAAGCTGTTGGACGAGGAGGCAAACACAGCAGGGGCCAAGGAGTGGTCGTTCTTGTCTAGGAATTCTGGAAAGGCAGGCGAGAAACGGGGCTTCAGGAATCATACCCAAGACTCGGAAAGGCCTGAGCCTCGCATGGGGCAGGTAAGGGGACGCTGGTCCTACCCTCCAGTGTGTACTGCTTCATGTCGATTTCGTAGAATTTGTTGGTTCCAATGAGGATACTGTAATTGGTAAAGTGGATACAGCTGCAGGGCTCTGAGGTCTCTATCTCCTGAGACAAAAGGGCAAAGAAGGATATGAGGGATGACACAGGACAGCCCTGATTCCATTACTATTCTGCTTCTGCCTCAAGCATCTAACAAGCCTCCCAGATGGTACCCTCAGACTTGCTCACACATCATACAAGCCCACTCTTGTGCTTCTCAGAGTGACCCGTTTTCTACCTCTTCCTGTTGCTCTAGGCAACCTAGACTTCCTCAGAAAGCAAAGTTTAACTGTAGCCAAAAAGGCTCAGAAACATCATTTCAATAAAAAGGCAAAATTTGTACTCTTCTCAGGGAATAAAAAAGACTGGAAAAAGACTTATTAACAAGGGCAGTCAGGACACATGGTTTTATTTTCCTTCTTTTTGCTAAGTTTCTAATCTGAACCTATATTATCTATCCAAATAGCACCTTCAGTATCATTACAATCTCAACTTCATTATCTGCTTCCTAATTATTTATACTTGTTTATAGGCCAACCCTAACATTATCAAAAGAGCCAAGACTTGCTGATTACAAATAGTAGCCACGGGTCATAAAAATGCAGTGATTTCTGAGAATTTTCCTGAAGCTAACAGTTCAGATTCTAATCAGCATCATCCTTATCACTAAATAATTACTGACCACCTACTAAGTATGAGGAAAATTTGAGATAGCATAATACAGTGAAGCAGTAGGGAAAAATCAAACTTCAGTTTGGGTCTCAACTTTGCACTTTGGGTTCTCTCCTAACACTAACTGTTGTGCTACCTAGAAACTGGGAAACTATTGTAAAAATTGTAGAATAGCCAGCTCAGTCCCTGGTACCAGCAGTCACTCAATAAACACCCAAAGTAAACTAACAAGATCCTGCCAGAACGAAACTGTTTCTCTCACAAGTGAGGACCCCTGAATATTAGTCACACCTCCCTTCACCTTGAGACTAATTATGAAAGCACCAGAAATAAAACAGGCATACAGTGGCAGAGCATCCTTAGTCTGGGGACAGCAAACACTTTGTGCAGAAGTGAGGAAAACTGAAGTGTCCAAACTGCAGTCATCATCACTACACTCTCTCCTCCCAGGAGAACCGGTGCCCCAATCACAAATCAGAGCAGAACCAGCATTGGTTTGTCCCTTATTAGCAGAAACCTCATCTAGATGCCAAGAAAGACTCTGGCAAGTGTCTTACTCAGGACTGCATCCTTCTCAGAAAGAGTGCCTTCCTTTTGCTGCCAGCTCAAACAAGTATCTCCTCCATCAGCTGCCTCTCTGCCTTGATAAAAGGCTGAACTCAGTGGGCCAGGCATGTAGGCAGTTTCCAAGCAGAAGAAAAGCAAGAAGGGAAACTGCAGCTACTGGAGGCTCTGGGTTCTTCCAGGAAAGGTCTCACTCTCTAGGGAAGTCATTCCATGGTGGAGGATGGCAGAGTGGAAGGGACAAGACACATGCTATTGCCCAAGATGGCACACTGTCCACATGGGCTTCCCAGGAGAGCAGGCAGACTGGGCCCCAACTTACCTTCCGAATGCAATACTTGCCAAGGTTTTCATTGTAGCGGAGGATGACAACTTTGCTGGGCATGGCTGCACAGATGCAGAGGCTGTTCTCAATCTGAAAGGCCATTGGAAAAATAAAGCCATATGAATACCAACTCTGCAGCAAAACTAGGAAAAGAACATGTTTTAAGCAGAGTCTCTCATCCTCAGTCCTGCTGACAGTTTGGATGTCATTCTGTGGTAGTGATGGGATGGGGGTCCTCTGCTTTGTAGGGTGATGGGCAGCATCATGGCCTGCCCCACTAGACAACTGTAGCATCCTCCAGGTGTGACAGTGAAAAGGTCTCTAGACTTTACCAACTGTCCCCCAGAGGACAGAATTGCCCCTGTCGGGAACCACTGCTTTAGCTGGGATCAGGAGAAGGAATCAGGGATCCACCTTACTCCACACATACTTTGGGTATGCACCTTTGGCTGGAGAAAAATTCTTTTGGCAACCTCATGCTGAAGGGAGGGGGATAAAGCAGTATGAGGGAAGGAAGAGGAAAGGTAGGAGAAATCGCTATAATAACTTAGAGAAAATTTCAGTCAAGGGGAATAGTTCTTAGCTAAGACGTATACATACAGAGTTCTACATCAAAACTCCTTTTAACTACAACAGTTGAATTCCTCTTTTCTCACCTCTCAGAACCAGACTTTTGGCATTCACAAAGAGAAAAGCAAAGAAAAACAAAGAAAAAGAGGCTTATTGCTCATATCCATCCTGAAATGAATGACAGCAGTTGGGGAGGAGGGAGGGAAAGGGGAAACAGGTAGGAAAATGGAAATTGCTGGTAATATTCTATTTCTTGAGTTGAGAGATGAGTTTGTGAATGTTTACTACATTATTGCACTTTATGATTTATATATATGTTCCCTACTTTTTAAAGTATTTCAAACAATACAATAAAAATAATCTCTGATTTTAAAAAACTAACTTTCAGAAACTACATGGCACATTCCTTTGTCTTTTTTGAGACACAGTCTAGCTATGCAGTTCCACGCCCAGCCACAATGCACATTTCTAATCAATCATTTATAGGACAAATTTTTTATCATGTAGAATGACTATAAGGAGTTTCCATATCAAAATTTACAGGGTCCAACTAAAATAGTAGTTAAGAGGAAAATGCATAGCCTTAAAAAGATTGTATTATAAAAATTGCCTAGAGGGCCGGGGATGTAGCTCAGCGGCACTGCACCTGCCTGCCAAGCTCATGGTCCTGAGTTCGATCCCTGGTAAGGAGTAAAAAAAGAAAAATCGCCTAAAAAATAAATTTTAAAAAGCATAGTAGGGGAAAACCAGGAAAAATTAAAAGAAGAAAAAACAAAGACAAAGGCAAAAACTAATCACAAAATAATGCTAGACTAGGGACAATCAGTAAAGCCCACAGCTGCTCCTTTTTAAAGGTTAATACAATTGAAATAAAAGACACAGTAGGAGTAATATTAGAGATGAAAAAGGTACTCTCACTGACTAGTCCTGCAGCCTTAGAACAGAGGTCTCTGGGAGTTTGGTCAAGTTCATAGGAGACGCTCAGTAAATGTGCCTGAGTGTTCACATGAGCAGCTGCCCGGGGGCTGGGTTCAGAGGAAGAAGAGGCAGTGATTTCCAAAAGCAGAAGTCTAGTAGCCCCAGGAGCTCCACAAATGCTTAATTTAGACTTCATTAGAGTTGTGCATGCATGTGTGCAAATACCCATGCAGATTCTTAACATTTTTAATGAAAAAAAATTTAAGGAGACAAAAAACTATATTTATGTGCCAAATTTCAATTTGCTGGCGATTATAGGAGCATTAACAAGGGCTCCAGTGAACTGATTTTATGCTTACAATTGGCCCTCTGCATCCACAGGTTCTGAATGTCCAGATTCAATCAGCATAGATGAAAAATATTCAAGAAAAAAACTGCATCTTTAGTAAATATGTGTAGACCTCTTTTTCTTATTATTGGTCACTAAACTATACAGTATAACAACTATTTACATAGGATTTATATGGTGTTAGGTATTAAAAGTAATCTAGAGATGATTTTTAAATATAGGAAAATGGATAGGTTATATGAAAATACCATGTCATTCTACACAGCATGAAGGACTAGAACATCCTTGGATCCTGGAACCAATCCTCTCCAGATACTGAGGGATGACTGTCTAAATGTCATAAATTAGAATCTGCAAACTTCTAGTAATAAAATGTCCCTTCATCTACTTCACACAGGTTAGAATTTTTTTAAGGCTCATGTTACAAACACACACATACTTTTTTAAACTATGGATCATCCTTTTAGTTTTATTAACCACATTTGCATTTTTCTTTTTCTTTTTTTTTTTGGTACCGGAGATAGAACTCAGGTCCTTGCGCTTGCAAGGCAGGCTGCAGAGCCACTGAGCTAAATCCTCAGCCCATTTGCATTTTTCTTTAAGAAATTCCCTTCAGATCCAAAGCCTATCCAAATTTCATGACTACCCCAATTATTACATGTGCCTAAAGGAAGCAAGAAAAATCCAACCCTGTCTGAGGTTACACAATTTTCAAATTCAAATCAATAAGGGCTGGAGACCGAAGGGCGGTGCCAATGTGAAGAATATTCCACCAGTGGAAGCCCGAAGAGAGCTCACCTTGCCGGCACCAAACAGGTGGCAGCCCTTGACAGCTTCGAAAATGTTAGGCGAGATGTCTGGCTGGGCAGGAAGGTGCGACTGTGCCAGAGACTGCTTTACTTTCTTCACATCCACCAGACACAGAGCCCGCTCTTCTCCTGAGAGGGAAAAGGCAGCCTCTGTCAGTTCGAAACCAAAGAGTATAGACTGGGGATTGGCGGGTAGGGGTCCAGCCCTGGAAATGAAGTAAAGCCACAGGAATCCAGGGCATAAACTCTTTTCCACACATCCCTACACAGCTTGAGTACCCTTTGTCTGAAATGCTTGGGACAGAAGTGCCTCAGATTTTGGATTTGAAATATTAGCGTATACATACTGAGCTATCTCAGGGACGAGTCCCAAGTCTTAACGTGAAATGCACATATGTCTCCTATACTTCTTATATACATAGCCTGAAAGTGGCTGCATACAATACTTTTAACGCACTTGAGTTTTGACTGCAATCCATCACATGAGGTCAAGTGTGGAATTTCCCACCTGTGGCAAAGTTGGCACTCAAAAAGTTTTAGATTCTATAGCATTTTGGATTTTGAGATTAGGGATGCTCAACTTATAAATATTTTAGGCCCATGTTTTCGATCTAAGATGAAAACATTTGGCCTTTGAGTCAAAAATTTCAGGAGAATAATTCTGCAGATATGAAATTGGAGAATGTGAACTAACCTTTCAAACTTGAAGAAAGAATATGTTAGAGAGCAAGAAGGGGACATTCTGCAAAACAACAGGCTTAGACGATTCATATACAACTGACTAGCTGAAGTCATAAAAGACAAAAGGAAGAATGAGGAACTGTTCCAGATTAAAGATAACTAAAAAGACATGATTAAATGCAATGCATTTTGTCTTAGGTTGTATCATGAATGGGGTGGGGGAATAGTATAGAAAACATTATCAGGGCCAAAGATAAAATCTGATTGGGCAGTGTATCAGATACCTGTATTACATAGCAAAAGTTAAGTTTCCTGAATATAAAAATTTTAACCTGTGAAACTATTCCACACGATACAATATGTCTAAGTCATTATATTCTGTCAAAACCCATAGGATGTAGAACACCAAGAGTGAAACCGAATGTAAACTATGGACTTTCTGTGATAATGATGTGCTAGTGCAGGTTCATCAATAGTAACAAACATACCAGTCTGATGTGGATGTTGATGATGGGGGAGCCTGTGTGTATGTGAAGGGAGAGGTACAGGGGAAGTCTCTGTACTTTCCTCTCAATTTTCTGTGAATCTAGCTCTCAAAATAAAATCAGGGAGAGAGGCAAACAGGGAGGGAAGGAGAGAGAGAGGGAGGGAGGGAGGGAGGGAGGGAGGGAGGGAAGGAAGGAAAATAGCTAAGAGATCCTGAAAGGCCTCTTCATGATCACATTATTTCATTCTCTGGACCTAGTCATGCCTGAAACAAGAGCCAATTATGAGTGTTTTAAACATTAAGCCTATGTATTACTGTTTTTCCATGAAAAAAAAAAAGCTGGGCTTGGTGGCCCACACCTGTAATCCCAGCACACTGGGAGGCTGAGGCAGGAAGATTGTAAGTTCAAGACTAGCCTGGGCAATTTAATGAGATACTATCTCAAAATAAAAAATAAAAAGGGCTGGAGATGTAGCTCAGTGCAAAGGTCCTGGGTTCAGTACACAGTACCAGAAAAAGAAAAGAACTCTCAGCAAAGAAAGAAAAAAATTGTGTCAATAGTCACATGAAGGAATGCCCTTGTTCATAGGCTGACATGCTGAAGAACCAATAATAAGCCTACAATAAACTTTCAAATACTTCAGATAAAAAGATGTGTGTGTGTGTGTGTGTGTGTGTGTGTGTGAGCACACAGATGTCAGCAAGTGGTGATTTAGTTGAAGGGTCTATGATTATGCACAGGCATAAGAAAGATTGGGCAGTAATCATGTAGAGATTGTGTACACCACGCAAGCTCTCAGAAGGTTACAGCTATAGTGGCACTAATGCAACTAGCAGAAGGGGTGGACTTTAATGAGTCTTCGAGGCTTGGTACTTGCTATGGCTTAGATAGTCTGGGCATTCCTCAAAGGTCCATGAGATTGGAGGCTTGGTGCCCAACATGGTAATGTTGGGAGGTGCTGGGAAACTTTTAAGAGGTGGGGCCTAGTGGGAGGTCTTTAGGTCATTGGGGCCTGCTCTAGGAAGGCAGTTCTTGCGAGACTTGCATTCTCATAAGAGGATTGTTATAAAAGGAGCAAGCTGGCCCCTCCCAGCTCTCCTGTATGGAGATGTCACCTTCTTGCTTCTGCACATGCTCCCACCATGGTATCTGCCATGAGGTGATACAGCTGAGGATGGCCCTCAAACCAGAGCTGGGCAGTTTGGATTTTGAACTTTTAGAACTGTGAGCTAAATAAACATCTTTTCTTCATTATTACCCTACCTCAGGTATTTTATTATAGTGATAGAAGGTTGACTAATGTTAGACTATGCTGAACGGGACAGCAAAGGGAACCAAATGTGAACAGAGAGAATCCATCAGTTGAAACTCGTCATCAACAGGGACACAGAGGAAAAGAGCTACCTCTGCTCCAAGCTGCTATCAGGAAGCTCTGACTTTGTGCTTCTCAAGCATGAAATTTGGCTTTCAAATTTTTCCCTTCAAAGTAAAGAAAAGGACTATGTCCTTGGCTTCACACCTGCTATCATGAGTAGTTTCTCCAGGTCCTTGATGATATATATTTGGAAGACTGCTCCAATTCCTGGGACATGGGTTAAGGAGTTTTTCAAGACATTCAGTGCATATAGCCCTTCCTCAGTGCCCACCAACACCACCTGTGAGGGCAGAAGTCAAAAGGCAGAATATAAGTACAGTTGCGTCACCAGGCAATCCCAAAGTGTAAGAGCAACAAAGCCTACTCAGCCTTTCGTTCTCCTGAGTGTGAGGCTGTAGCCAGTTACCAGCTGATGGTGCCCAGAAAATACTACCTGATCACTGAAGGGCAGTGTGCAGTTCATGTCTAGCCGGTCATCACCTTCCAGTTTCAGCAGGGAGTTTCCAAGCAATTTCTTTTCAAATGTGAAGGAAAGAGAAGAAAAAGAAGACATAATGAACAGAGAAATTTACAGTCAAGTGAAGAAGCACACACATCTGCTCTTAGCTGGCCCTCACTTTAAAATGTATTATTATTACTATGATTATTATTATTATTATTTTGCTGCTGGAGATTGAATTCAGGGCTTTGCATATGCTAAGCAAGTGTCCTAACACAGAGCTACATCTCTAGCCTCTTGCACTGTATTTTTATCAGAACTCCAAAAGCAAGAAGTAGGCATTACTGATCTCTCAGGGGCAGATGTTAAATAGCATCAGCTATAACTCAGCTTGGGTGCAGAAATGAGCATTATAGGTGCAAAAAGCTATTCTGTAATAGGAAATAAGCTGAAGATAGAGAAATTTCACCTGCCAAGGGTTAATAAGCCATATGGAAGATTCCTCCCCCACCCAGGCTGCAGAAGAGCAAAGTAGTGTCAGCAGCAAACCAATAAGCCTGATTCTCTTTACCTGAACACACGCAGGCAGAAGCTCGTAGGAAAAACAGTCACAGGCCAACTGTGCACATATTAATGTGGATTTCAGTAAAAGGCTCATGTATATAACAATAAAACAGTTCAAAACAAGCATACCCAGTGAGCAAAGATCTTCTCTGGAGGCTTATGGTTAAGCATTTTCCAATTGCTAACCCTTTAAGTGTTTATCAGGAACTAGTGTCTGAAAAGAGCTATTCAGACTTCAGTGGAACAAACGCTGATGAGCAATGAACAGTGTTTGCTTCCTAAAATGTTCTAGGGGGAGTGATGCCTATCAAGGCACACCTACATTTCTAACATCTTAAGGATAAGTAGGATTTCAAACCTGCCTATGAAAGAGCAAATAACTGCAGAAGCAACCAGGAAGGTTACAAAAAGCCTTCCTGAAGTAGATGTGGCCATTGGCGGCCTACATGCTGCTTCATAGCCAAAGTGCTTATAACTCAAAAAGAAGACATCTGAGTAAACAAGAGGATTTCCTTGTAAGTACATTGGCTGCTCTATTGCCATAACCAGGCTCAATCATGCCCCAAGACTTGGTGGATGGTGTTGCTTCCTCAACTCTACACAGCTGCAAAGGGAGGGCTTGTGTTGCTCCACTGCTACCTTGGAGCTTATGCCTTCACTGCCCCAAAAGCTGGCTATGACACAGTCTGGAGCCATCATGCCTCAGACAGAGAACCCAAGGGAAACCAAGACAGCCAACAGGATGCCCATCATTAAGATCAGTTACCCTCGTGCTCACTTCGGCAGCACATGTACTAAGATCAGTTACCAAAGACCAGCCCACTCTACAAAGACAAGCACCAGTGCCCATGTTCATACTCACAGCATCGGCTTCTGCCTTTTCCCTAGAAACTCTCCCACCTGCAACAACTGATTCTAAGGCGGTGACCCAGCGCTGTTTGTCAGGAAAGCTGGGAGCTAGCAAGTAGAGGGTTCTCCCAGGCCAGCAGGTGGTGTGCGGGTGAGACTCCATCTTCAGTATATATGGAACATCTAGGAGATTTCACAGAGAGCACAGGATTGGGTGTGGATTTCCCCCATTCCTACTGGTAGGCATGGCCCTGAGACATCAGAGAACCCATCAAACTATGAGAGTCTGTTACTGGTAAGATGGAGGAGCAGGGGATGGTTGGCCTCCTTGGCTCAGCCAACCCTCCATGGCCTTTCCAGCCTCTCCTGATTTGCCAAGCCCCACCCACATTCACAGTTGGTCTCTCCCAGGTTCCCTCACCTGCTTTGGCTGTGTTTGCGAGTTCAGAAGCACCAACGGCACCATGAATAGATACGTCCCCATCAGGAAGGCAGAGCTCAAATTCTTCCACCGGTCTCTGTCCAGCTTGTTGCAAAGAGGAAGGGCAGAAAGAAAAACAAAAGAACAGGAACAAGAACAAAGGGAGAAGACGAAGAGGAAGAGGAAGAGAAAGAGGCACAGGAAGAGGAAGAGGAAGAGAGAAGAGAAGGGAAGAGAGGAAAAGGGAGATAGGATACGCGTGTAAGGACAGATGCACAAGAACAAAGAAGGAAAAAGGTGTGCAGAGAAGGCAGAGGAGGGAAGATAAAAAAAAATAAAATGTGTCAGATGAGTAGCACAGTCAAATTTCTGATGACGATGCGGATTTATGGGCTAGTTGGCTGAGACGGAAGTTCTCTGAAGGTGTATTAGCAGGTGGAATCTTCAGGGCAGCACCCTGCGAGTTCTTCAGGGGGAAGACCTATAGATGTGAGTATCGCACCAATAACCTTTAGAGAAGTCATTTGGCTTTTCATTTTCAAAAATGGGAAAGTGGAGAAGGCTCACGAGGCAGTCCAAAAACAAAAACAAAAACAAAAAAGCCTTCACACCAACACTGGGAGACCTGGGTTAACCACGTGCAATGAAATTCCCCCTGAATTATTAATTTACCTTCTCTGGCTTCACTGTCATAAATGAGGACTTTTGATCCCTCCAACACAATGTATTTCCTGTCCCAACCTTGCTGTCCACGTTTATTATTCCTAGGGAAAAAAGACGGGGAAGAAAAAGGTTTGAACTTAGAAGTATCAGGCTTGATGAAGGAGGAAGAGGAAGGAGAGGAGAATTCTAGAAGGGAATTCCCAGAAAATACCAGGAGTAGAAGGTAGCTTGGGGCCTCCATGCAAGCACTTACTGGAGCCAAACCAGCTCCACAGCAATACCTGGGCACCTTCATCCACCCTTCCAGGTGTAGGCTGCTGCTGGGTTCTTTGCTCTGGAGACCTGGGGAGTTCATTTTGTCACGGCAGAAGGCCTCAGTGAAGTGTGTGGCATATTCGGCAGGCAAGCCACAGGTGGCTGGCAAGCAGGTGGAGCACTTGGGATGACACATCACCTGACATTCTAGGGAAGAACAACGAACAGCCTGAAAACACGTTCTGCTGAGCTCAGACTATTCCCTTCCTCTGCCATCCAAGCCTAGCTCTTCTCCACCCTCATCCACCCAGGCACCCAGGTAATTCCTAAGTTTTCCCAGGTGCCAGAGCCCTACTGGGAGAGGAAAAGAGAAAGCCACGTGCTCTCAATTCAGTTTTCCTGGCTTCACTTCAGGCCACCCACAAACACGTGTGTAAAGATGTTTGCATGTTTCAGCTGGAGCCAGGTGGGAAGAGACCAGCCTGACACAAAGAGGCTGGAAATTAGCAAAGATCAAGGCATTTTGTACATCGAGCTGGAGTCACGAGCCGACGACATGAATGAAATCATTGCTTTTGCAGGGGAAAAATAGTGTCCTCCCACTGAAATGAAAAGCTCGAAAGTGAATGCATTATATGATGAGGAATTAGCAAAACATCTCCTCCATCAGATGGAGGCACATAGGCGCCCACTGCAGATACACAAACACTGCTCTTACCAAGACATTTGGATGCCTGGCGTCCAAAGTGCACAGTATCCAGACACACAGCACACTTTGTGGCTCGCATGTTCAGTCCTACATTAAATCGGTGAGGAATATTGTGGTGCATGCGCTCCTTAAGACGCCGACTAAATTCTGAAGGAAAAATGTTTAATAATTGTTAAAGTGCTGCAAAGGAAAATGAAAAGATAATGCACAGAATGGAGAAAATATTTGCAAACCATATCTGATTAGAGATTTGTGTCTAGGGTCTATAAAGAACTCTCACAACCCAGTAATAAAAAGAAAACCCAACTAAAAAAATGGGTCAAGGATTTGAATAGATTATCTTCCCAGAGAGGATAAATAAATAGACAATAAGCACTCAAAAAAGATGCTCAACATCGTTAGTAATTAGGGAAACACAAATTAAAACCACTAGTGAGATGGGAGCGAGGATCTAGCTCAGTGGTGCTGCCACCTGCCTCACAAGCGCAAGGTCCCGAGTTTGATCCCCGGTACCAAAAAAGAAAGTTAAACACAGAATTCTCAAATGACCCAGAGTCCTCTCCTAGGTATATACCCAAGAGCACTGAAAACATATGTCCATGCAAAAATATGATACAGAGGATTGAACCCAGGCCCTTCACACTAGCTACATCCCTGGTTGTTTTGTTGTTATCGCTGCTGTTTGTTTGCTTGTTTCTTCTTTTGAGACAGGGTCTCCCCTAACTCACAAAGTTGTCCAGGCTGGGCTTAAACTTGTGATCCTTCTGCCTCAGCTTCCCAGGGTCCTGGAATGACAGATGTGCACCACCATACCCAGCTCTAGCAGCACAATTTGTGAAAGCAAAAGGAAGAAACAACCCAAGTACCCACTAATGGGTTAATGGATAAGGAAAATCCTCTATCCACCCAATGGAACATTATTCAGCCACTCAAAGAAACAAAGTACTGCAGTCTCCACAGCTCAGGTGCACGGGAGAATGGAGGGCACCTGCTAACAAGTTGTTTGCCTGTTTGGGGGAGGGTGTTCAGAACTTACAGTGTGGTGACGGTTGCACAACCTATGAACTCACTTAAAAACAAGAAATTGTACATTTTATTAATTTTTTTTTATTATTATTTATTTCTTTATTGGTACTGGGGATCGAACTGGGGTCCTTGTGCCTGCACAGCAGGCAGCAAAACCACTAAGTTAAATCCCCGACCCCAAGAAATTGTACATTTTAAATGGGTGAATTATACAGTATGCAAATTATATCTCAATAAAGCTATTAAATCTTTGAGCAAGTTAGGTACAGATTGTGAAATTATTTCAACAGATGTATCTAGATTTAATGAATCAACTTAAAAATTTCCATTGTCTCATTAGGAGTTAGGATGTATTTAAGAACACAGTCATGGTAGAAGAATGACTATTTGACAGTATCCTTATTTGTGGGCATAAAGAAACAAACCTTGAAATCAATTATTTATAAATATTTTAGTCATGAAAAGCTTTCTTTTCCAGATTAAATCATATCTAGGCATTTTCAAAATCCAATTTAAAAATCACTACTAAGAATTACAGAATTTCTAATTACTAAATATATGAACTGACTAGAGTACTTTCCTTTTATGCCCAGTTTTTATATGATCTCTTTTTATTCAAAATTCAATTTTTTTCTGAAATAATCGATGCTTACATTTATATGCCAGTCTGCTAAAATCAACAAAGCCAACCTTTTTTCCCCATTTACTAAGCTCCCTTTCAACAATGAAGTGACCTGACTTATTAAAGGCAACTTTAAATAGAAGAGTGCCAGATGCAAATTTCTGAATCCCCATCTGGTAGGCTGTCTTTATGTCACCCCCTTCCCTTCCCAGAAAGTCATAAGGAACAAATAAACTTGCATGCGCTGTGAATCAGGTACGGTGCACTACACACGGAGGAGGAGGCATTCACATATCTAGGGAAGCTGTTCTCTGGCCTTGTCCATGGGCACCACAGCCAGGAACAATTCCTTCCTCAAAGTTACCATCACCATTTGGATGTAAAGCTCTTTGATTTAAGGTGTTATATAAATATAGGAACAAGATGACCTCATGGTCGAAGAAAAGGATAACAACAACACAAAGTATTATGGAAACACGGGAACAAGATGACACCATGGTTGGAGAAAAATAACAGCAGCAACAAAATGCCCTCAGGATTAATAATCAAATTAGGGTGTGATGGTAATGCCATGACACTAAACCACAGCTCTATTCTTCTCCCCAAGGCTTTTCTAGTCACCCCGCCACCTTCTTTTTGGTTTTTTGACAATGTCTCGCTATGCAGTTCAGGCTGACCTTGAACTCACTGTATAGCACAGGCTGGCCTCCAACTCCTGGTGATTCTCCTGCCTCAGCCTCCCAAATGCTGAAATTGAAGACATGCACCACCATACCCAGCTTCCTTGGCCTTTTTTAAAAAAACTTTTCATCTCTAGGTGAACAGAGTACTGATGAGATCACAAAGAAAACCCTTTGCCCTATTGGTAATCATATAAATTGGCACAAACTATCAACACATGAAACGCATATAACTTTCAACCCAATGATTCACTTCCCAATAATTCATCCAATAAGGAAAAATGTGTTCCAGGCACTCTTCTTATAGTGGATTTATATACTTAGAATATAGACAGAACTTGAAAAATTAACCCCTTAAAAACAAATAACTCAATCAACAAATGAGCAAATGAACTGAATAGATACTTTTTAAAGGAAATATAAAGGATCAAACAGTATATGAAAAACTGTTCAACATCTTTACTGATTAGAGAAATGCAAATCAAAGCTACATTGACATGGGGCCAGCAATTTAGCTCAGTGGTTCTGCCGCCTGCCTTGCAAGCGCAAGGACCTAAGTTCAATTCCTGGTACTAAAAAAAAAAAAAAAAGCTACACTGACATTCCATCTCACCCCACTAATAACTATCATCACGGGCTGGGGATGTAGCTCAGTGGCCCTGTACCTCCCTTGCAAGCGTAAGGTCCTGAGTTTAATACCCAGTACCAAAAAAAAAAAAAAAGAATGGCTATCATCAAGAATACTAAAAACAATAAATGAATTCTTCTACCTGGCTGGTGAGAATGTAAACTGGTACAACCACTGTGGAAATCAGTATGGAGATTCCTCAAAAAACTAAAAGTAGAAATAATACTTGATCTAGCTATAACACTTCTTGGTATATTTCCAAAAGAATTAAAGACAGCATACTACAATTTTAGGTGAATAGCCATGTTTATGGTGTGCAATTCAAAATATCTAAACTGTGGAAACAGCCTCGCTGCCCATCAACATGTGAATGGACAAAGAAAATGTGATATATATACACAATGGAATATTACTCAGCCATAAAGAAGAACAAAATCACATTACTAGCAGAAAAATGGATGGAACTGGAAACCACCATATTACATAAGTCAAATAAGGCAGTCTCAGAAAGTTAAATGTCACACATGTTCTCTTCTAAACATAAATAGATTCTCTTCTAAAAATAAATGAGAATGACAGGAAACTAGAACACAGACTTTTAAATATGGGGAAGGGAATGTGGGGAGGAGTTAGAGAGATGAAAATAATCAAAATATGTTTAGTATATGTAACAACATACCAAAACAAATCTCATTAGTCTGTTTTACAATATGCACTGATTAAAAAAATGTATCCCAGGGCCAGGGATTTAGCTCAGTGGTTTCGCCGCCTGTTGCACAAGTGCAAGGACCCGAGTTCAATCCCTGGTACCAAAAAAAAAATGTATCCCACAGACTCAATACCTACCAAGATGTAGGATGTTCTTTGTAGGGCATCTATGGTAACAGGGGATTGAAAACAATGTAAACGCCCATCAACAGGGGTCTGGCTTAATGGGTGACTCATAGACCCACACCATGGAATACTATGTAGTCCTTTGAAAGAATGAAACAGTTCCATATTTATTAATATGAAACACTATCAGATAATACTTTATCTAAAAGGTTTCTTGCAGTGTAAAAGATAGTGTTATGTTATTTATTACAAAAAGAGGGGCATTTTCTCATATTCTTGATACATATTTAGGGCTGGGGATGTAGCTCAGAGCTACAACATTTGCCCAGCATGCATGAGGTCCTGGGTTCAACCCCAGTACCATCAAAAAGAAAAAATTTTCTTACCTTATATATATTCATATAAGACATGTGATTGTGTACATGATCTACCCCTGGATGAATACGATGATTGAAAGCAATGGTTGACTCTGAATAAGGGATGTGGCAAAGGGGGAAGACTTTTTTCTCTTTATCATTTAGTATTATTTGTCATTTTTACTATATGATTGCATTTCTTAGAAAGTTAAAAAAAAATTCTACACAACTCCAACAGCCCATAAGAATGGATTATGGTTTGGCCAGCCATGGAAACACATGCCTGTAACCTCACTTACTTGGAAGACTGAGACAAGACAATCACAAATTCAAGCCTAATGTGGGCAACTTAGTGAGGTTTCATTTCAAAATAAAAATTAAAAAGGGCTGGGGATGTACAGCTTAGTATTCCCTGGGTTCAATCTGCAGTACAGTACTGCAAAAAGAAAAAGAACGGATATGGTTTGAATGAGTCTTTCCTAAATTCATATGATGATGATACTGAAGTGGGGTCTCTGGGAGGTCCTTAGCATTAGATGAGCCATAAGGGTGGGGATCCCCCAATGGCATTTATGAGAAGACAAAGAGAGACCCGATATAACACGCTTACTCTGTCTTGCCATGTGGTACCCTCCACCATGCTACGGTGCAGCAAGAAGGTGCTCACCAGCTGTAGCACCAGCCTCTTGGACATCCAGCCTTCAGAACTGTGTGTCAAATAAATTACTTTTCTTTATAAACTACCTACCCTCAGGGATTTTGTTATAGCCACTGAAAATAAATTAAGACAGAAACATACCCTCTGGAGTTGAAGACTCTTTCCTGCGGCTAGAAGGTGGTGCGAGCAGGCTCATGGCACTGGGCTGGTGCTCAGGTGACCGTACAATGGCGGACATGGCGATTTGCTGCCTCGCAGTGGCTGGCGTAGATGGGTGAGGGTGGTCCGTGGCTTTGCGATGGGCAGCTGCAGAGAAAGCAAAACAATGCCTTTCAGTTACCTGAGTCACCAAGGGCCAGATTAAGCAGACTGCCCCTGGGCTGTCTTTCAAGGACCCAAGACCAAAAGGACATGCATCGTGTCAACTTGGCAAGACCAGGGAAGTTGTAAATATTTTAGACTTGGGACATCTGGACTGAAAAATTCTTAGGCCATAAACTAAGATGCTAAACTACTCTTGGCCAGTCTCATAGAGATCAGTCCTCTGTCTTGTCCACAGCCTCAAGCACTTTGCAGAGAGCCCCTACCTTCCTCTCGGGCGGAGCGGAGCTCAATGCGGGTCTTCTGAAGGGCTTCCTCTAGCTCTGCACAGCGAGCTTTCTCCTTCTCCAGGGCCAGCTTCAGCTCATTGTACTGCAGAGGAACCTGTGTGGGCAAAGCAGGGTCCTCTTTCCGTCGACTAAATAAACCCTAGCAATGGAAACAGAGATATCTCCTAACTCCTGGAGACTGGCACTGCATACTAGCTAAAGGAAAGCTGACTCGGGACGAGCAATCCACCAAGGCCAGGCGCAATACTCACTGTAAGTGTGTTTAGTAAAAATGGCAGGTGAAGGGGGAAAGGGGGGCTGAGCCTCAGCCCGTTCCAGCCAGCTGAAAAAAGAGTGGGGTGTGGGAGTTTTCACCAAGAGGGTTAAAGATGCTTGATTTGCTACCACCTCTTCCTTTAGTAATCCAATGACAGAAAATTCATCTCCTGAGAGCTTTTCACCCTCAAGAAATGGAATCAGGAGAGATGGAGCATGGACCCAGGAGAGGGAGTTCAGAGGCCACTCCTGCCTTTGAACTTGCCTCATAGTGCTTAGTTACAAGACACAGAGAGGGGTGCTTTTAAAAGAAAATGACATCAAAACAAGGGGCTTAATTAAAAAATGTAAATAGAAATACTTATTGTACATGGAAGACAAAAAGGAAAATAAAATAATGCAACTGAAACAAAATTAACCTAGAAAAATAATAAATGGAAACACCCTAACTACATCAAATGACATAACCAGACAACAGTTTGCTGTTAAAATAAAAAAGATTAAATATCATAAGCAGAGCAAACATATACAGTCACACAGTATGCAACAAAGCCCTTCAGTGAAGCCACCATTTGATAGAGACAGGCAGCCTCTGAATGCTGCACTCAAGATGGCATAGGGACACGGGAACCAACCATTGCTTTCAGTCCACCTGACCTTTCTTCTAGGTATTTCAAGTCATCAAGTTCTTTCCTATAAAACCAATGCCAGGGGCAGGGATTTAGCTCAGTGGTTCCGCTGCCTGCTTTGCAAGCACAAGGTCCAGAGTTCGATCCCAGGTACCCCTCCAAAAACAAAACAAAAAAAAAAACAGATGCCACAGCCACCATGGTGTACTAAGGCCTTTGGAAGGAACTGCAAGCTCCTTAGGCAGCTTTCTGGAACTGAGGACATTTAGCCAACCTCAGTCAAGGACGTCAGTGGTTTGAGAAAGCACAGACTGGGTTTATGAAAAGAGATCTTCCCATGCGTACCTATACATATCCCTGTCCATGGTTTGGGTTTTTGTTGGCAGTGTTTAATTTATATGTTATAACTTTAAAGGGATGGTTCAGTACTAATGGAAGGTATAGCTGTCCAGCCAGGCACTTGGGACAGTCACTTCAACTCCCTGGGTTCAGTATCTTAGTAGTACTTAAACAATCAAAAGCACTGGACAAGATCATTTATAAGACCTTCCTACAATCCCATAAAGGTGACTTTCAAGCTGGCCTACTCTCCCAAACATGTGACCTACTAATCCTTCTGAAGCACCATATACAAGACCTGCTAATCCCTCTAGAGTCCTGCACAATGATCTTCAAATCTATTTGGAGCCCTCTAAAGATGATCTATGCATAAACCTTTCTCTCTTCTCTCTGCACACCCCCTGCCATCTTCTGTGTGGTGTGGTAGGTGTGGGTGTGGGTATGTGATCACTCCCTTAGTAGAGAAAGGAACTATGATTTTAATGGCTATGAACATAAAGAACTTTGTTAGATTTGACCAGTGATATCATCTGATAAAGGTTATTTCCAAATCTATTTTTCAACCCAAAATAAAAGAAGAAAAGGTACATTTTTTTCTTCTATGTTCCTATGATTTCACATCACAGTGGTGCCCATTGAGTCATGAGTGATGGAGTGAAACTGCCAATCCCATGTGTCAAACCCTTTGACCCACCTTTTTCTTTTTAGCAGGTTGGTCCATTTTAGCTTGCAGAAAATCGATGAGTTTGGTTTGTTGAGAAATAGTGCCTTCCATTTTCACCTTTTCATGAGAATAGAGAACCTAAAATTCACAAAACAAAAATTACCCCAGAGGCAGATAGAGGTATACTTTTTAAACTTGGTACTTTAAGAAAGTAACAGTAAAACTGTTAGGACATTAGTATAGGAAAATTCAAAACACACAGCACTGGACGAAAATTTATTTAGTTCTAATTTTATCATAAGGGAAAAAATAAGACGGATAGGTATATGAAAAAGTAAAAATAATAATTAATTACAGGATCCAGGTGGTAGTCACTGTGGAGATTTTCCAACTTCTCTGAAAGTTTGTAAAATTTTACAATTAAAATGTTGGAGAAATATACACAGTACACAGCATAAAGATACTGACCAAATTACCAGAGGCTTTTTGACATCAAGCTTTGCCTCAATAGACTCCCAAATACACGCACACACATGTGCATGCACCTGGGGCTGTGGTTGGAACCCCAGGCTTCACACACACTAAGCACATGCTCTACCACTGAGCTCCACCCCCAGCCCTGCAAACAACTTTCAATCAGATTCCCTTTCCCAGTCCCTACCTGAATATTTTCCAGCTGATATTCGAGATCACTTCTTTCTGTCTTCAACAGATCAGCCCGATCAAGAGCTTCTTGAAGCCCTTGAGTGAGACGGAAAATGTGGTTCTTCTGTAGGTCCATCTGCTGCTGTAACTTGGCTTGCTAGTGGGAAGAAGGCCCGGAGAAAGGCTCAACACCATACAGAATACAGCTTGCTCCCCACTGCTCCTAGCCCCTGCTAGGTTCAGGCTCACAATGAAAGTTCAGCTTTTGAAACCATCTCTTTTCAGAAATACCACTTGTCTTTATTCTAAAATGATGTGGTCATGGTTAAAAAGAATTTTCAAGGGGGCCAGGGATTTAGCTCAGTGCTGCTATGGACTGCCTTGCAAGCACAAGGTCCTGAGTTTGATCCCCGATACCAAAAACAAACAAACAAAAAAATTGGCAAGGAAATTTTGGATAGACACAAATCACAGGATCCTGTCTATTAACAAGAAGTCCATGCTCAGGATCTGCCTTGCCAGTTAGCCTTATAACTGACTATGCTTTGGTACCTAAGTGCATAAGCTTTCTGACATGACTGTGAATGCAGTGCAATTCAGTGCCATGTTAACTAAGATCCATGTGTCCCTATCTTTTGGTTTTAAGATCTGAATGGCTGTTAGGAAAAATCACTGTGTAGGCAGTGTGGAATATACAAAGAGGAATTATATCACCCCTAACTTCACGAGTACCATGATTCACACAGAATAGCCACAATTATATTGTGAGGAGAAGACAAGATCTCCAGATATGCTACAGCACTTGATAAAACCCAGAAACACTTCAATTCAGTACACTGGAAATAGTTGTGCTGCAAATCTCTCTCCAATTTTTACATTTGAAGTCAACCAGAAAAGGGCAGGTTATGGAGATACTGCTTTTATGGTTCTCTTTCCTAAGAAGTGTCTATTTCTTTCCTAAAATGTGTTCCATTGTGACAGAATGCTGCTTGATTTCATCCAAACCTCAGGTTATCACCCAACCATACAGGCTGTGGCCCAAATAATCTCATCCCTGGTATCCTAGACTCTTTGCACACGTAGGAACAAAGTGCTATAAAACAGCAATAAACATCATCATGGGGGTTTTCAAATAGTCCATGGCAGATCTCAAAGCCCTCCAGCCCAGCATGCCAAGAGCAATTTTAACAACAGAATTTGCTAGTCTTCTCCCTCTTACTTTGCTTCTCTCTGCCTATGTTTTTCTTTCCGCTTGTACTCCTCACCTGTCCTTCTTCTTCAGAGGTAGCTGATTCCCTGAAGCACTGTGCTGTAGTCAAAAGAATCTGGACTGGAATTTTACAGCCATGCCCTCCTTTAAATAATGACCTTGACACTTAAAAGCAATGTAACCATAGACAGGTCATATTGCCTCTTGGAGTCTCAGTTTCTTCATATGAGAGCGGATAAAATGCCTCGCCTCCTGCAACAACACATTGAGCACAGTGCCCAGGAAATAGAAGGTGGTTCAAGAGTACTGGTATTCTTTATCTCCTTTGTCTTTCTCCCCTCATCCAATTCAGTCCCTCAGCCCAGTTTCTGATCTGCCTTTTCCCTACTGGTCCTGCCAAAAAGCATGAGATACTAAAGATCAGCTGACCTGGGTGCATAACCTGGAATTTCTCAATCAAACCACAGAACCCCCTAAATACAGGAGAAAAAAAGAAAAGGAGAGAGGGAAGGAAGGAGAGAAGGAAGAAAGGAAGGAAGGAAGGAAGGAAGGAAGGGAAGGAAGAGCTAAAATACTCTCTGAAAGGGAGCTACCAGTCCCCCGCAAACCAAGTGATTTCTTTTGCAAATTACCCTCTTTAGTTTCTTCCCACTATTTTAGGACAACATTAATTACTAGGCAAGAACGAGAGAAACAAGTGCTGTGGACAAGGATCTATTTGATGACAGCCAGGCCCAAAATATTTTTCTAGAATAAGCACATCAACTGTTCAGGGGCTTTCTAAGATATAGGCTGGTTATTCACTATAATAAAAACTAAGTGCAAATAAGAGTGACATTTACACTCTATGAAATGTTTTTCAAAAACTATCTGCTGCAGAAAGAGGCATATGCAGTAATATACTCGTGGGTCAGTGTTAGACTGAAAAGTGAGCCTGAGCTATACTTAGACCTGTCCATCAATTTCTCTCTCTCTTTCTTTCTTTCTTTCTTTTTTTTTTTTTGGTACTGGAGATCGAACTCGGGTCCTTGCGCTTGCGCTTGTGCAGCAGGCGGCGAAACCACTGAGCTAAATCCGCAGCACTATCCACCAATTTCACACGGGTGACAAGAAACCAGGAAGATGAATGAAGGAGCTGGATGACAGAACCAGAAATACAAAACAAACCCAGTGGGCAGGAAGAACGGGTCAAAACCAAACAGAAAAGGTCAATAGGATGGTATTTTTAAAAACTTCAGCTGCATAAATACAGAACATAAAAGTGTTTTAAAGGGGGGGAAAAAAGGAACATGGAGAAGGGGAAGTACAATTTTATAGGTCCATGGAAGTCAATGGTTTAACTAAACTACCCAAAGAGCTCCAGGTAATTGGCAGAGGTTTATAGAGCTCAGTATAGAGGTAAAAACTTTCCACTGAAAAAGGTCACGTGAGCCATATTTTAGACCACATGGACTCCCAGAAACTCTTCAGAAAGACAAATCTACCAGAAAAGAACACAAACCTCAGAGGGATCTGAGATGTTTCACTAAGAAAGAGAAGGTAATTTAGAGTGGGAGAGACAGTGTGATATCTGATTGTCATGGAGATAATAAAAGTAGAAAATATGAGTTGATTCATCTAAAGTAGTAAGAAAAGTACCTGACACATAGTAAGTGCTAATTAAATGTTAGTTATTTTTATTATTACATAATCTAACAATAAATCAGTAATGATCTCTGATTTTGGTTGGATATGTCAGGCTACTCTTTTTTCTCTCTCTCTCTGAGGGCTTACCAGCATTTGTTTTAATTTTTTTATTTTTATCATTTGTTTTTATTACATGTTTGTAGTACATAATGTTTACATTCCTTGTGGGGAGTTGGTACACGTACACAATATATCTTAATCCCTTCTTTCATCCCCTTTCCCTTCCCTCCTTCCCTCTCCCCCTATCTTTTGATCCCCTTCCTATTTGAGAAAGATTTATCTCTCTAATTTCTATTATCTACCTTTTATTTTGCTCTTTATTTATATTTTGGATTTTTCATTATCAGACTACTCTTTAATTTCACGTTGTAATGCAACAGAACCAATGGATGAAAGTTGTAGACTTTAGTTCAAAATAAGAAAAGAGTTCCTGAAAAATAGGTTGGGATGTCCAAAGTCACTGCAGTAGTTTGGCCAAGGTTCACTGAGGCCCGTCTAAGAGAAGTGTTGGGGTAGAGATTTTCTACCTGGAATTAGGAGATGAATTTGACATGGATTACCAAATGGACTTTCATCTCTGGCATTACTTCCAATAGACTGGTGGTTGTAAAGTGTCATGTCAAGAAAGCTCCTAAGACAATTTCAGGCCCAAGAAGAAGTTGGAAGAAAAATCTATTAGTAAAGTTTGTCAGAGACAGGAATAAGAGGGATAATCACGGGAATATAGCCAAGATAGACACAAAATTCTTCTAATTATGTTCCACTTAAAAGTCTCTTACTTAGGAAGAGGGCATTTAGGTTGAAGTCTTGGGCCATGCTCAAAAAGCACACACCAAAACCAAGGATCCCAACTACATTTTGGACAATAAACATCATTTTTTATGTGTGAGGCCTGGGCTCAAACAGCACCACCAAAAATAAATGAATAAATAAAAAGATCATTGTTTAGTTCAAAATGGTTTCAACTATCTGTGAAATCTGATTCAAATCCAGGATCAGCCAGATGTCTGTGCTCAAACATCTATCTGGGAGGTACAGACTGGGGAACTGGAAATGTTCTCACGTAGGTTAGAAGTGAGAATGAGGGGACTGAGTCAGGCTTCCAGCATTCTATTCCTAGCATTGTCACTGATTCACCATGCAACCTTGGACCAAAGTTCTGGGCTGTCGGGGCCAACTCACCCTCCCCCAGAAAAAGAGGACAAGCAACAGCATCAGTTATTTCTCTTTTGTTTCCAGCATATGGCTAAAGTGGGGACATTGTCTACTCATGCCAAACAAAAAACTATAACACTCTACTTGACCACCAGGTATATTTAAAAGTTCTAGTACAGGTTGAGCATCCCTAATTCAAAACTGCGAAATCTGAAATGCCCCAAAACCCAAAACTTTCTGAGGGACAACAAAATGCTGCAAGTGGAAAATGTGACACCTGATCTCATCTGATGGGTCACAGTCAAAACACAGGCACATTAAAAAACTGTATAAAAGGTACCAAAAAAAAAAAACTGTATAAAATTACTTTCCATCTATGTGTATAAGATCTACATAAAGCATAAATAAATTTTGTGTTTAGACTTGGGTCCCATTCCATATATTATATATATGTGCAAATATTCCAAAATCCTGGTTCCAAGTATTTTAGATGAAGGATATTCAACCTGTATTGTGTTTATAAGGTTATTTGGTGAATTTCATTTATATATATATACACACATATACATATAAAATTAATTTTATTTTTAAATTTTTTGCTATCAAAAGATACCTTTTTTTTAAGGGCTAAGGCTCCAACCAGGCCCTCCTACATGCTAGGCCATTTTACCATTTTTAAGTATATAGTTCAGTAGTATTGAGAACAGTCATATAATTGTACAACCATCACCACCTCTCATCTCGACAACTTTCTCAAACTCCTACCTATATTTTGTAAAGTATCATTCGACAAGACACTTCATACTCACCTGTAATATTTTCACTACATTTTTGAAACTGAATAGCATAGCAATATTATTTCTACCAGCAGAGCCCCCAAGGAGCTATGAGTATCATATGACAACAGAGGATTCTGATTAATTATACTGCCAGCCTCAATACAGATTAAATAGAACACTCTTTGGAATTCAAGTTTTCATTAGACATCTTTATAAAAATGCATTTGTCCTGGTAGGTCAGTTCTAAGGAACAAAGCAGAATCATTAGTGATTCAATGTATAAGGCTTTGGTTGGGAGTAGGAAGCAGTCATCAATTTAAATAGCAAATTTTCACTGTTCTGTGAAAAGACACATGAAATAACATAAAGAAAGGGTTTAGAAGATCAATTTGTGCTTGTCATCTTATATCTCAAAAGCATGGCATGATGTTTTTAATTGAATTAAGTGCATATTCAAAAGTCCTCATGAATTTGGTACTCAGTATAATCTGATCAAATCTGTGCCCTGTGTAGGAAGCTAATTTGCACGGCTGTTCTATCAGCACGAAACTTAATATATTTTGAATATTAACTCTAAAGCACAATTTAACTCAATATTCACTCACCCATATATTTAATAAACTTTTTTCGCCACATACTTACCACATGTTTAACACTATTAAGCTTTATGTAGGAAGATCCAAATGACAGAGACCCTCTGACCTTCAAGACATATTATTTTAATCTGTTAAATACCTTACAGAAAATATTATGTGACCACTGTACTCTGCCTCAAAAATTCCAGTTTCAAAATCTACATGCCTAATTTGGATCTGACCATCTGAATGTAACAAATCTTCATGATCAAAATCCCACCTGGCTGCAGCTCCCAGGTCGTCTACACTCACCTCTTCCAGAAGCCTTTGTTTGAGTTCTCGCTCAGTCTCCAGTTTCTGCTGTAGGCTTCGGGCATTCATTTCAAGCATGGCATGCTTCTTTTCCAGATCATTGAGCTGGACATTCAGAAAAATTGGCCATGATAACACATATGGGGGTGTTAGATGCTAACAACTTTCATAAACATCCACAAGCCTTCACATATAAAGGATAATCAAGTTCTAAAGGCTAGAACATAAAGATTGTTTTGAAAAACCAAAAGTCCCTGTGATAGGCAAGTCTCCCACATGAGGACAGGAATTATTTCTAAGGGATGGATCATATGTATACCTGCAGCAAGTTCTAAAAGGATGGCTGCTCAAGGATGTATTAATCTGACAGGCTTTGGCTGAATTTAATTAAATCATTACATGCTGAGTGCTTAGAACTTGCACAGCACTACAGCTACTGGGATGAAAGGGTTTACGTGAAGTTGGAAGTGTAGAGGGTAGCTGATGAGTAGACATGCATGCACACACACAATGACTGCTTTGTCACAGGAAAGTCTGATAAGGTACGTAGAAGAGAAACCACACCCAATAAAGAAAATATGGTACTAGAATGCCTAGAGCTTTAAAGGACAGATTAGAACTAGCTTTTGAATACTTCAAGAATAGTCAGAAAATCTGGGGATTTAGCTCAGTGGTTCCGGTGCCTGCCTCGCAAGTGCAAGGTCCCGAGTTCAATCCCCATTACCAAAAAAATCCCAAAAAACAAGAACAGTCAGAAAAACACATTCTTCAAGTCAAACATAAAAGGGGTTCATTTATCTCTAAATTTATTATTTAGAGATAAATTTATCATTTACCTCTAAATTATAAATTTATTTTCCTCATGCTTTTAAAAAAAATGGTACCAGGTATAGTGGTATACATTCTAGCTATTTAGGAGGCTGAAGCAGGAGAATCCCAGGTTCAAGGCCAGCCTGGGTAACATAGTGAGACCATGTCTCAAAATAAAATTTTAAAAGAGATAGGAATGTGGCTCAGTGGTAGAGCACCTGCCCAGCTCAGCATGCACAAGGCCAGGGCACCCCCAGCAGTGTAAAAGAGAAAAGTAGTAAGCCAGCCTCAGGGAATTCAGGAATATTGTAAGTGGTAAGCTTTAGCCTTGAATTGATTAATCCTGTTTCTATGAATTTCCAGTAAGAAAATAAGCATGGAAAATAAGAACCAAGAGAGATTATGTAAAAGTGCAAATTTCCAATGATGAATGTCATTATATTGCATACCTAAAATGTACCAATAAAATAATATTACAAAATAGAAAGGAAATAAGCACGGATGGCCACAAAGATTTATATTCATCACAATGTTATTTATAGAGCAAAAGAAAAATTGGAACAAGGCCAAATTTCCAATACAAGGAGAATGCTTAAATTAGTTGCCTGCATGCAGTTTGACTTTTTCAGAATTACATGTTGAAAAAATATTCATTAACTAACGAAAAGCTTCCAGGGATATTTTTTCTAAAAGATGTAAAGCTGTATATATATATAGTAGAAATCTAAATTTATAAAAAGTATATGTGTGTGTACATATAAACATAAGCAAATAAGAGACTGTAAATAAATAACCAATATAACAAGGTAATGGTTGCCAGTCATTTTTTCCTTTACTTTTCTGTGATTTCTATATTTTCTACAATGACACTAAGTAATTACTTTTATAAACATAAAGTACAAAATTCAGATTGCTACTTTATATACATATATGTGAAAAAGACTATACGAATCTGTGTGTGTATATATATAAAATTTCTCTGATCTTCATTTTTATTATCTGCAACAGTGAAATGCCTATTCTACATCTCTTTCAAGACCATTAGATAAAATGCCTAAAACATTAGTACATCACTTTGTAAATGTGATGGGAAATGGTGATGGGACAGAACACATACATTTCCACCGTGCAATACTAAGTACTCACATGTGTCATGAGACCTTGCTATGATTTGAATGTGTTCCCTACAAGTTCCTCTGTTGGAAACTTCATCCCCAAATTCATATGTTGATGGTAGCTAGAGGTGAGGCTTTTGGGAAGTAATGAGGGTTAGATAAGGTCATGAAGATGGAACTCATGATGGCACTAGTGGCTCAATAAGAAGAGACACTGGGCTAGCACACTTGCTCTCACTGTGTGATGTCCTCTACCATGTGATGATGCAGAAAGAAGTCCTCACCAGATGCCAGCACTATGCTCTTGGACTTCCCGGTCCCTAGGACCATGAGCCAAATGAACTGCTATTCTTTATAAATTACCCAGTCTTGGGTATTTTGTTATAGCAACAAAAAATATAAAATTGACCCTATTACATCCCTGAACTTGGAATAAAGAGAAGCTAGCCACCTATGATTGCCACAACAGAAGGAGCCTGAATCATTGCTATCATGCTCTTCTCAAGGTTGCACAACACTAATCCATGAGGTCTAGAAATACTATACCAGAAATCAAGACTTATACATCAAAATCAAATCTGGACTTGTAGGGTCCACCTAGGCAGATGTTAAAAAGTCACTGACTAGCCATGATAACCACACACCTATGTTGTTGCCAACCAAGGATATCCCACAGTGAATCATAACTGGCACTTTCAGAGTGAGTAAATGTATGCTTACAAAATGTGTTAACCATGGATTGCATTTGAATTTGTGTCGAGCAGGCCTTTAAAAGAAGGAAACGAAAATGTTTTCCCAAAAGGCAGACAGGTGCTGACCTTGTCAGACAGGCTCTCAGCCTTCAGCTTCTGTTCTTTGAGAGCCTGCTGCAGAGCAAGAATCTCAGCCTTGTGTTCCTTCACTGCCAACTCCACCACCTGGCGAGACTCAGTGATCCGCTGATCGGCTCGCGCCCTGCCAGAAAAACAGGCCTGATTTCAGAAACCCCACCACCACCGACTGGAGAAAGGAGGCTGGTCCACTTTAACCCTGAGTCCTACCTCCAAATTATGTCTGCCTTTCTGACAGTGTACAGAGCAAATATTTGACTCACTTCAGGCTTTGGGTAAAACTGTCCTTAAGAGGTAAAGTTCCTATGAGTACTGACTTTGAAAGAGAGGAGAAAAGGCACCCCATTTGAGCAAACATTTTCTCTCTTCACAGCATATGTAAGGGGTTAAGTATTCTGGATGCTCATCAGAAAACTAATACTTAAATCTGATGATTGTGCCCAGAAATTACACTAAAGAATACAAAAGTCAGACGCAAACTTAGAAAACCACTTCCTTTTCCCCATGTCAGTACTAATTTTTCCGACTTCCACACTTTGGTTTGTACTATCTCCTCCACAGGCAATATTTTCCTTACTTACTCTACAAACTCACTTCTTACTCAGCCTTCAAGGATGAACTCAAATGCTATGTCCTTCCTAAAACCTTTCCCAATTTCCCTTGTTCTGAATCCAAAGCCTAAATCTATTTCTCCTCTAGCACACATCACTCTCTCTTTTAGGTGATAAATATTTGAATGCACAGTTTTTCTCCTCCACTAGACTCAGCCTCTGAGGACAAAGATTAAGAATTCTATTTTACTCATTTCAGTATCTCACATAATTCAAGAAAGGTTTTCACAATTGCCTTGTAAGAAGACATGAAATAAAAGTAGATTAATGCTGATCTTCTTAAGCATAGTCCATAATTATACCTTCGACACGTAGCTGTGTATTTCTTGATTCTGAAACCAGACCTGACCTCCAAAACTATCTTTAAGGTGGGGGGGGGGTTGTGGGAGAGTGGCTAGAACTTCTAGTAGGGCAAAGGGACCCCCAGGTTGGAGAGAAACAAAAACAGAGTTTTAAAACAGCAGCTCTTCCCGTCAGCAAACACCCTTCCTGGGAGGAAATCAACAAAAAGAAATATCTGTACCAGTTTCTCTTGAAATTTATGGATTCTCATCTTTTCCTCTAATCTTCTGTAGAACTTAGCATAAATTATCCACCCAGGTTGGATCCACTATGACCATGTAAATGTGGAAAATACCAAATGGTGTAATACAGTCTAATTAAGTGATAAATATGTCTAGGTTTAGTTTAGCTTGCTTAGGGAATTCAGAGAACCACAGGGAAGTGATTTCCAGGAAGGTGACCTTAGCAAGGTTAGGAAGGGTGATATAATTCAGTTGGCCACATAAAGCCAAGGGGCTAATGCTGGCCCATATGGCGCCTTTGTGCAGACTAAAAAGGGGTTCCTGTTCTTCAAGACCATGTATTTCCATCTGTAAACTGTCATAACATACTAATTTTGTTAGAACAAAATACTTTGCTGCCATGAGCTACAAAATTGTCATAATAACTCTTCAAATTGATGGCATCTTCAGTGTGAATGGCACTCCCTGCACTATTATAACCCAGCAGGAAGGGAGCTGTATGCTGGGGGAATTGTGGAAACAAAAGCAAGAAAGCTGCCTAAACTCTTTATTATCATTTTCTACCAAGAAAGGAAGAAAGGAAGAAAGAAAGGAAACACCACTCTAGAGAGCAGTGGTTCTCAACTGGGAGCACTTTTCCCCCATCTTGGAGACACTGGGCAATATCCAGGGTCATTTTCAGCTGTCACAACTTGGGAAGGAGGTTGCTACTGGCATCTAATGGGTGGAGACAAGGAATGATGCTCAATACCCTACAACGCAGAGGACAGACCTCCACAACAAAGAATTATCCAGTCCAAAGTGTCAGCAGCACCAAGGTTCAAGAGCTCCAGTGCAGCAGGAAGACCAGCAAGTCCACATGACTATGTCTGGCTACACAGTCACATGGTCATGCTGATAAGAAATCTGACAAAAGTGTTTCTGCAAAGAAGGCACTGAGATATTTGCCTTGACTCCCCAGCCTCTGCACTGGGTAAATGGCCACCAGCCATTACTATAGAATCCAAGTGACAATATCCAGAATTACAAGCAGGACGACTACCCAACCTGGTTCACTCAAGAGCATCCTGGACTTAACCCTGAAAGTGCTGCATGCCAGGAAACTTCTCAGTCCTGGACAAGCTAGGATAATTGGTCACCATGTTTACAACTCTCAGGTGGATCCAGCTGCAGTCACCTGTCACCGGCTTTCTGCAAAGAAGAAGTCCCACCTGCTCTGTTTCTCAGTGTCCAGCATTCTCTGTAACTCTCGAACCCGACACTCAAACTGGGACTTCTCATCACCGAGGACACTCCTCCAGGCCTCCCACTGGCGCTCTTTTTCTAGCAGCTCATCATTCAGGGCCTCCAGATCCATAACCTGTTCTTCTAGCATTGTGCACGTGGTCTTCAGAGCCTCCATCGTCTGCAAATCAGTACCACTGAGTTGTGCCTTGTATCAAATGAGGATTTCCTGGAGGTTACTTTTATGAGCTCAGTTTCAGAAAAGCACAAGTTCCTAACTACAGTCTTAAATACAGTACATCTTTTCTTCTACAGCCTGGGGGGACTGGGCAAGATTGGATGAATGACAACCATGCTGCCATCTGAGAGGCAGAACCCAAAGCCAGCCTGGGGTTGGGGTGGGCAGTGACCAAGCTCAAAGCAAGTGGCTCACAATGGCTTCCCAAATCTTTCCGCTTTATTTTTATTTTTTTAATCTAAATTAAGAACTACTTCACACTTTTAAAAGCCATTTGTGAAACTCCAAAGCCCAAGCAACAAGATGTGACTGAACAGTACATAGTCTAGACAAGAAGGCACCAGACCCTTCTCCTAAATCCTTCCAAGAGTCTTCCAGGGACATCAGAACTTTGTTCACCCTCCTTACTTGCTTCTGGCTGGTGAGCTGCATCTCCCTCTCTGTGATCTCACGGCGGAGATGGTCTACTTCACTTCGCAGCTGAACTATCTCATCATTTGCACCTGAAGCCTCATCGAGTTGTTTGGACAAGTAGAAGTTTTGGTTGTTGAGTTCAGCATTGTCTTCAGTGAGCTGATTTAGCTGCTCCTCCAGGTCTGTGATGACCTGCAAGGGGAAAGGAATCCAGTTGCACACCAAGCAAGTTCATTGTAAGTGAGGAACTGCTTCTAGAACTATTAATTTTTAAACCTACGTCAAACTGACAATCAGTGCACAGCTATCTAAACTCAGGGCCAAATCTAAGCTACAAAGCCCACTCACTTAATTCTAACAAATGTACGATGGGAGAAAAAGAAGTCTCAGTTTCTAACTTAGGGTACATTTGGAAAATATGGCAAAAACAAATCAATCAAAAGTGACTGCTGTACAGATGGGGCAAGTTCAAATGGGATCAAGTTAATATCAGGAACCAATAAAATAAAGGGGGATGTAACACAAAATGGAAGTTAAGGAAAGAGGAATAATAGCCTGGTATCACAATCACCTAATTAAGCTAAACATGACCTTGACAATATCGATGTGATGTTATCATTGGAGACAGCCATCGTCTTAGAAAGCAAAATTCAGTCCTTAGAAAGGAAGACTGACAGAGAAAGATACTAAGAATGATTTGAATAATATCACAGGCAATGAATTTAATTTCATGTAACAAAGAGAAAAAAATCTTAAGGGAAGCTCAGAATAATCCTGAAAATATTATATATTATGGCATCATTTTAGTGGATTTTACTATATGGTCAGCTCTCAGTGTATATGAAATTGTCATTTTATGGACAGAGATTTAATCTGGTTTTGCTAAATTATTTCCCTGCTCAGTGGCACAATGTCTCCAATTTCAGTGCATTTAGCTTTTCTATTCTCTTTGCTGAGGTTTAGTATCGGTGCTTGCCGAGAGCTTTTATATAAAATACTTTAGAAGTTTAAGGGCAATTTTCTAATAATAGTTGGAATGAGGCACACACTATAAATTAAATTTTATGCCACAAAAAGAAGTAAATTAAAAGGAAATGCCTTTAAGCCTACGGTTATTGTTTCCAATTTTCAGACCTAGAATATACTTAGTTTATGAAATGTTAACATTTTTTCTATGACTAATTCCCTACTTTAACCCCCCTTTATCAATTTTAAAATATCTTCCCAGCCACACAGAATTAAAGAACATCAATTAAAGTACATTTGTTCAATGTGGCTCAGAAAATACAGCTTTTCATTGTGTTAACTGAGCTGATAACCTTTTAATGTAGTAAGCGGCCTAGTAATTTGCTTTTTAATGTCAAAAACCATGTTAATTCCTAATGTACTGATTTGAGGTACACTGTCAGCTACCAGAGGGGAATAAAGGTGACCTGCTCAGGTTTTTGGGAAAGATGGTTTCTTTATCAAAGGGAAAAAATAGGTTAAAAACCTGTACTTTCGTCGTAGCTAGCAGTTATATCTTTCTGTGACATGGTTAAATCTCTTAAAATCAGAAACAATATACAATGTCTATCTGTCCAAATCACCTCATTCCTCATTCCGGATGTAGACCCATTCCTTAAGATACTTCTCTTTGTAAATTATAAATGCTTAACTGCTATGCTTTATTCTACTTCTTTCCCAAAGGAAAACAGTTAAGACTGAGAAAAAATGTCCTGGAAGATGTGCTATAAAATGGATTCTAGAACCCCAAATAAGCTATCTTGTAATGAGCTGATTTCTCCATCTGTAACATGGAAGTAAATACTATATTTACTTTACCTGTTTTTATTCTTTGAATGTTATTGTATACTATAAGACCTTAATGTGTCATGTGAAATATAATAAAAACTAATAACTATGATAATGCTTCATTTGTAACGCCTTTTGGATAACACCCAATAGGAAATCTAGTCACACAAAAATATATAATTTACCTGCCATTCAAAGTTATATCGAAGTCTTAGGTACCTACTTCCTTTGATTCATGAAAATAATAGTTTATTATGTAAAAAATACATTTCTGCCACCTCTTCTCTTTCTCCCTAGATTACAAAAGTCTAAAGAAGAAACCCATAAAAAAGTCAGTGTGATGTCAATTATTACTCCAATAGAGATGGGTCCACAGGCATAGGAAGAGCCCTTTTATTTCCCTGCCATCAGCCAGTTTTCAAGGTCTAATGTCTCTGATTGCCAGTCTCTGTCTTGTTGTTTCCATACTAGGTCATTGTCTCTATACTGCCTATTTTACAAGATAAGGGTTACATGTCTATGTAAAGCACCCAGGCAGGGATTTAAAGCATTTTAACTCAATTAAATTTTTTATACATTCTGTCTACCCAAGCCATAATAACTTGTGACCCTTTTGACATACAGCAGATAATTTTTTAGCTTGTGACCCTGTTTCCAGTGGAAGGAGTTGTAAGTTAAGTATGAGACACATCTATGCATACACATTATTGAGTTTACAGATATTTAATGACTTGAGACTCAATCAGTAAATTAATGGTCTCCATGGCTAAATAAAAGTATAACTGGCAATCGTTACAACTGGTTTTTTTTCTTAGTTTTTTGTTTTTTTTTTTTTGGTACTGGGGATCAAACTCGGGTCCTCGAGCTTGAGCAGCAGGTGGTGGAACCACTGAGCTAAATCCCCGGCCCCTTCACAACTGTTTTTAAAATAGGTATTATTTAATTCCCATTTTATAGATGGGAAAATTGGGGCAAATGGAGGCTAAGTAACTTGCCCAAAGGCATACTGCTAGTAGATAAAAAAAGGAAAACCCAGAATTTGAACTCAGCACTGAAACTCAAGAATCTCTGCCTTAGCTTGGCTCAGTGGTATGCACCAGTAATCCAAACACTCTGGGAGGCTGAGACAGGAGGATCTCAAGTTTGACCCCAGTCTGGGCAATTTAGCAGCTTAGTGATATCCTTTCTCAGCATAAAAAAATTTTTAAAGGGCTGCGGATATACATTAGTGCAAAAGTTCTAGATTCAATCCCTAGTATCACAGAAAAAGGAGGGGAGGCTCTTAACAAAGCTAGCTACTCCTCTAAAATAGGGAGTCAAGTTTATTCAATTTTTCTTTCAAATTTTTGAAAGCTAAAATGATAAAGGAAGATATATCAACCATTCAGGATGACCTTTCTTGCTTTTGAAGAAGGTAATGTGCAACATTGCTTAGGACTACTTTGTGGCCATGGGTACACTCTCTCCATACCAAGAGCAAAGGATTTGTTTACTAACAGTCTATAGTAAAAGTCTGTTAACCTTTCAGCCCCAAGGATAGAAGGTAAAAGAGATAAACTGAAAGGCTGATTCCATCTTAGCAATAATTAAAAAAAAAAAAAAAAGATAAGGGAGGGAGCTTCAAAATGCAGGGACTAGCAAAGCTTTCTGATCTGCTGTTTCTATAGAAAAGAGATTTTGGTGCCTTTCTCATAGACAACAGGAATATAAAAAATTATCTACTCAGTGTAAAAAAAAAATTTTGCTTGGGGTTTTCTGTTATTTTTCAAGGCTATTATGTGAACCTCCGGGTTCTGAGAAGTGGATGTTGACCCCTCACACATAACTGGTAGATCAGGAGAGGTAAGTTGCCAGGTCAACGTCCAACAGGCATTAAGGGTGAAGAAACCAGTCAAACAATAAGCATCAGGCTAAAAACACACAAGACTGAAATCCTATTTTAATGCCTAGTTCTTTCCCAAAGGCAGCTATTTGCATATTATTTATTTTTAATCTTATAGCTGACAGATTGATTCATAATTAAAGCTGTGTCATATGTTTGCCCACCAACTCCCCTCTAAAACAGACTTAGGTAGGGTTTTAGGTGCCAGATTGAATCAAATCCTTTTTTAAATCTTTTCAAAATATAGAAATGGTCTGAGCTTGAAAATCTTATTGCTCCTGAGCTTTCTGAAAGCTGCTAACTGGGCACTCCTATCAACTGAGTTATTATGGGAGTTCTCACCAGTAGCAAAGATGATATTTCCTAATGGAGACCATGTTGGACAGTGCCAAAAAGAAAGGAACATCCATCACACTCTTGCTTAACCTTCATTTAAGCAGCCTTGAACTTGGAAAAGTATAATTGAGACCTACTACAGTATTATGCCCAAATGTTGTTCTAAAGTATTGGTTTTCAAGCTTTTTAAAGTAAGAGTCATTTTCCAAACAAAAGATTATGTTATAAGCCCAATATAATAGAACAATAAGGGTAACCAACAGTGCTTAGTACTTTCTATGGGTCAGGCCTTGTGCAAGCACTTTGCATGCATCATCTCATCTAACTATTGGAACCCAATAAGAGAGGTGTCATTACCAAATCCTACGACTCAGTGCTTCCTAGGTCTTACTGTTTCTGAAATTTGAATGTATATTGGAACTCAGCAGCTATCTCTCTTCCTCACCCAGCACCCAAAGAGCAGTTACTAAGTTGATTATATATCAGACAATCAATAGTATATTGCCCCTGAGGATGTACAATGTTACACCTTTTTTTTTAAAGTATTAGGGATTGAACCCAGGGCTTTGCACAGACCTGTATCTCCAAACCTCCTTTTAAGTTTTATTTTGAGACAGGGTCTCTCAGTTGTCCAGGCTGAGCTCAAATTTAATGATCTTCCTCCCTCCCCCTCCCAGGGTACTGAGATTACAGGCATGCACCACCATGCCTGGCTTGATATTGTGTTTTCTTTGGTTTTGTTTGTTTGTTTTTAGACATGGTTTCACTATGTAGTTCAGGCTGGCCTTGAACTCACGACATAGCCCAGGCTGGCCTTGAACTTGAAGTAATCCTCCTGCCTCAGTCTCATGAGTGCTGGGTTTATAGACATGCACCATCACACCCCATTGTTACCCTCATTTTTACAGATAAAGAAATAGGGGCTCAGAGAATAGTATCACATAGGTTAGCAGGAGGCGAATTTATAATCTGAACTCAGACTGCCTGACTCCAGAGCCAATGGTTTGAACCACTAAGCCACCCAGCTGCTCTAGCTGACATGTGGATGGGGGTCACTTTCTCAGGGTCTGCCATCCCACTTAGGGAGACTCCCACAGGCTCCTCCACAGAAGGTAAGTGAAACAAGAATTAGAAGTCACTCTCCCCATCAAATTTGGACAGTATAAATGGTAGGTAAGTTAAGCAAAAAACCAAATTCACTCTACATACTGAAACATGTGGAAGTCCATTAAAATGTAACTTCCAATTTTTGTTTGTTTGTTTTTTGGTACCAGGGATCCAACTCAGGACCTTGCACTTGCAAGGCAGGTACCGGAACCACTGAGCTAAATCCCTGGCCCCTTAACTTCCAATTTTAAAAACAGGGCAGGATTGATTTCAAAACAGCATCAGAGAAACTTTAAAGGATGATAGACATGTTTATTATTTTATTATTTTGGTTTCACAGATGCATACACATTCTAAAAAATATTAGGTTTATTGTATACTAATTATATCTCCATAAATCTGCAGAACAGGTTCTTTAAATGTTTCCTTATGCTAAAAGACTAAACAGCAAAAAAAGAGAATTTCAGATAAGTTCATCAGAATTACTGATGAACACATTTTGAAAACATCCAAGTTTAAGGAAAAATTAGTAATAGAAAGAATCACAGTCACAAAAAGACAACAGGAAACTAAAAAAAACTAGGCTGAAGAATATGGGGACAGAATCCACCAATTCTTCAAGGGAGGATGAGAAATGGAGGAAACCAATAGTTTCAGCCTGATGTAACCATCACATCTGGAAACACAGACGCCCATCCACAGGAAAATGATAAACAAACTACAGTTCTATTCGTACACTGGACATAATACACAATAATGAGAAAGAGCAAATTATCTAGAAATGCAACAACATGAAGGAATATCACAGACAATTTAAGTTTATAAAAAATAAAAAGCTAACCCTCTAAGAGCATGTCTTCTCTGATTTCATTTATATGAAGTTCAAAAACAGGCAAATTCAATGCATGATATCAGGGATCAGAATGGAGTAACACTCTGGGCAAAGGATGCAAATGAGAAGGGAGACATGAAGGAGCCTGCTGGGAGGTGAAAACATTCTGCATCTTAATCTGTATCGTGGTTACACAGTTGTCTGTGGTTGCAAAAGTTTCATTAACTGTACATTTAAGATTAGTGAGCTTTATGCATTTTATACCTAAACTGAGAATAAAAACATCTACTATTAGGATTTAATGTCCTAGTTATAGTAGCTAAAGAGGAAATAAAGAGCTCATCATAAAAAAATAAACTATAGATATTTCTGAAGAGTCACAGATGCAAATAGTACAAACAAGGACAATATCACTGGGGACCAGGAAGGTAATAAAATGGGGAAAAGACCAAAGAAAAGAGATGGAAGCATGAATAAGGATAACAACCCCATCTTCTGAAAAGGACCTATTTTGGTCTTTTATTTTGACACAAAATAGACTGCATTTTCATTGACTCTACCCTATTATATAACCTATGAATGATGTTTATCTGCTTACAGAATTCACATCTTAGTATAAGTAACATCACCCAAAGGATCCTAGATTTTGAATTTTTATGTTAGGAAGCCAGATTTTTCCTGCTAGGAAGTTAAAATGTCTAAGACCACAGAAGAACTATTTGGTCTTTTCTCAGGGCAGACACAGGCTGAAGAAGCCTTGCAGAGAGCACTGTCCTGGCATGTGGCCAAGTCTTACCCTGGGCTGGCCATGAACCTGCACACTGGGAAAGAAAGAGGGGCTGCCAGGAAGGGGGTTGCTACAGTTGCTGAAATTTGGTAGTGGTACTACAATCTGAGTTATTTTCACCATCCTGATTATCTTTCTCTCCCAACATGAAGATGTTTTTTTTTTAACCCTGAAAAACAGACTATCTAGGGCTCAAAAACCTCCAAATAAGTTTGACTGAATTATCTACTTCAAACTGTAAGCTCATATCAAAACTCAGTCACTGATATTTTCTTTTTTTGGATCCTGTTTCAGTCCCCTGATATTTTAGTCATCTTTGGTTAATTAATACTCACAGTACAGCTGTTACGAAGGGCATCAAATTTGCGCTGGATTTCATCTCTATGTGCCTAAAAGGTAAGAAGTTGATAATAAATTTTCACAGGGTAGAATACAGTTCTATAAGCTATGGGTCAAATACAGAGAACAGCAACTTGCCCGAAAAGCCGAAAGTGCTGTTGCAGCAGCCCCGGCATTTGTTTTGCAAAGAACTAATTAATCCAGTCATTCCCAACATCAGAAATAAGTCACCGGGATACATGATGCTGTGTTAATAACAATTAACTATCTAGACCACACATGTACGCCCTGTGCAATTATCTTCTTACATTCATTTAACACCTAGGGGCTACCGGAAGAAAAGGGAAAAACTAATAAAGGACAAAGTTTTTACTGTCCTTCATTTGTCCTACTCCCCATTCTGAAAAGAGAGTAACTTTCCCTCTTTCCTTCTGATGACCCCTCCCCAACCTATTAGAGAGAGAGAAAGAGAGAAAGACATACATGCACATGCACACACACATACACACATAGATGCAGGCACATACAGAATAACAGCCAGGAAAAAGTATAATTTTTTTTCTTTAAATCAAAAGCTAGTGCTGGGCACAGCTAGTGGCACACATCTGCGATCCCAGCTACTCTTGAGGCTGAGGCAAGAGAATAACAAGTTCTAGGACAGCCTGGGCAATTTAGGAGACCTTGTCTCAAAATAAAAAGGGCTGGCAATGCAGCTCAGTGATAGAATGGTTGCCACGGTTCAATCCCCAGCACCATAAGAGATTTAGAAAACTCCACAGTAACTTTGAAGTAAATAAACAGGCTTTCTATGAGGCAATGCCGTCCCCAAACAGCAATATTGGCTCAGTTAAACAGAATTTTTTGAATGCATATTATATGCCTGACGCTAGTAGGAAATTGGTACACGTGGCCAACACCTTCATTTGGGAGAGGAAAGACAGAAAATAAAATAAGTGCCTGATTATAGACTGGGGGAAAAAAATGCTGTGAAGCACACAAAGAGGGGTTAGTAAAAGAAGAGTAAGAGTAGAAAGGAAGAAGTAGTGAAGGAGGGCTTCTTTGACATTTAAATTGAAGGATGATAAGGAGCCAGACACTGGCCTATCCCTACTTTATATTACATTTAGAAAGAAAAGGTGCTGTCAATTAAATCATGACATGTTTTATATCCATATCTGACTATTCGATGCATCTTGATTTCAGATACTTTCGAATCAACAGAATGAAGTATTTAGCCAGCCCTCTGTATCTGTGGTTTCTGTACCCATAGGTTCAGCCAACCACAGACAGAAAACATTTTGGAGGAAAATTGTCCTATATACTGAGTATATATATATTTTTCTTGTCATTATTCCCTAAACAACACAACAACTATTAACATTATATTTTAACAGCCATGGGTATATAAATTTTCATTTTTTGGACTTGGGTTATTCTAAATAAAACTAATACTCTTGACAAAATATAGCCACATGTTTTAAAACATTGTATCAAGTATTATCAATGATCTAGAGGTGATTTAAAGTATACAAGCAGATGTGCATTGGCTCTATGCAAACACTATGCCATTTTATAAATAAGGACTTGAGCATCTGCAGACTTTGGTATCTGTGGGCAGGGAGGGGGTCTTGAAAACAATCTCCCACAGATACTGAGAGATGACTATTCTTCTTTGCATTAAATTGCAAGGAAAATACATTCTTTTTCTGAGTTGTGGTCAATTTCAGAAAAACCAAGACAGAAAAACACTAGGCCAAGGTGATGACAGACAGGCAGGCAGGGACCAAAATTCTTAAAGGTCTAGTAAAGAATTTGAGGTTCAAAAAAAGAATCTGGGGCTCATTCAAAAATGCAATGAGTTAGAAACCAATGGGGGGCTTTAAGAAGAAGAGATGTGATCTGATTATCTCTTAAAGATGGTTGTGGATGCTGTAGGGAAAACAAATCAAAACAGAACAGAAGTAGGAAGGACCAGAAAAACTATTGAGGTCAGTGCCATCATTCAGGCAAGAAATGACAGTGGCTTAGAATAGGACAGTGGCAAAAAAGATAAGGACAAATAGAACCAAAATTTCTTTTGGATGCACAATTAAAAGGATCTGTCGATGGTTGTGGGAGTTGAGAAAAGAGGAGCCAAGGATGTCCTAACAGACTTGAGAGACAAGTTGAATTATAGTACCATTTGCTTAACCATGAAAGCCCACAGAACTACCCAGTTTCAGACAGAGGCAAATACGGTCTTTCTCCAGAAAAAGACAAAAACTTATTCTTCACAAGTAGGTCTTTAACATAACTAAGTAAAAATTTCAGATTTGTGATGTTTTCTCTAATATGTCTATTTTCCCATAAATTAGTGAAATTTATCACAGCAGATTAGATACTTTAGAAGAAAAGCTTAGTAAACTTGAAGACATAGCAAGTAACCATTTTGATACAGAGAAAAAAAAGCCTTAAAACTATGAACAGAGCATCAGTGAGCTGTAAGACAATTTCAAACAGCCCAATAAGCATGTAATTAGAATTTCTGAAGGAGTATAGAGGTGAGGCAGAAAAAAATTTTTTTGAAGAAATAATGGCCACAAGTTTCCAAGGTTGATGAAAGCCACAAATACACAGCCACAAAAAGTTCAGGGAGCGCCAAACACAAGAAACAGGAAGAAAATTAACCTAAAGTACATTAGAATCAAACTGCTTAAAACAAATAAAAAAGAGAAAAATCTTAAAACAAGCCATAGGGAAAGATACATTACACAGTGCCAGGTATGGTTACACATGTCTATAATCCCAGCACTCATGAGGTTGAGGCAGGAGGATTGTTGTGAGTTCGAGGCCAGCCTCAGCTACACAGTGAGTTCAAGGCCAGCCTCAATTGCATAGCGAGATCCTGACTCAAAAAAGAAGAAGAAGAAAAAAGAACTAAACTAAAAATTAAAAAAACAAAGATATATTACACAGTGAAGCAAAGACAAGAAACACAGATTTCTCACAAAAGTAGTTCTGAGGTGGGGACAGTGAAGAACTAGAAGACAATAGAGTAATATTTTGAAAGTACTAAAGGGAAAAAAAAAATCTTTTAATCAACCTAGAGTTCTATACCCAGCAAAAATACCTTTCAAAAATGAAGATGAAATAAAATTTTTCTCATACAGAAGATGAAGAACTTTGTCACAGTCAGACCTACACTATAAGAAATGTTAAAGGAAAATGACAACCAAGAATTTGGATATACACAAAAGAATGAAAAACACTGGAAAGTGGTAAAACAGAACAAAAACTGTTACATGAACAGATTTATAAAAATTTGTTTCAAATTAACATCCCAAATAATTTGTCCATATTTTTATAGACTAATTTACTAGATCATAATTTTTTCAAAAACTCAATCTGCTTTTTGCCCAGTGCTATAGTCTAGATGTTAAATGTCTCCCAAAGGTCCACATGTTAAGGCTTAGTCCACAGAGGGGCAGTGTAAGGAGGTATTGTGTGGAGCCTAGCCGAGGATGGGATTATGAGACCCCAGCTCTTTCCTTTTCTAGTCATGAAGTGAGCAGTTTTGCTCTGCCATCCATCCCTGCCAGGCATTGCCTCATCATAGGCCCAAACCAAATGGTCAGCCAATCATGGACTGAAACTGCCAAAACCATGAGCCAAAATGTTCTTTGTCTTTATAAGTTACTTATTTTGGGTACTTTCTTATAGTGACAGAAAACTGACTAACATAGCCAGAAACAAACAAAGACATTAATTTGATGAAGCAAGAATAACGTTCATAGAATGTAGGACCATGGCCATCTGCACTACTGTGGAAACCTCATTTTTGACTAATGATCAAGCAGTAGCCTGGACCCAAGAATCACTGTACTCCATAATCACCAAGGACAAAAAAGCAAGGATCTTTCCTACAGGAAGAATAGGCCTATATGTTAATCAACTCTAGGTTAGGGATAAGCAAACTTTTTCCTTAAATTAAGGGAAGGTTGGTAAATATTTCTGACCTACTCAAATCTGCCCTCAGATCAAAAGCAACCATAGACAATATGTAAAAGGGTGTGGCTGTGTTCCAATAAAACTTTATTTACAGAAAACGAGTGACAGTGAATTTGGTCTACTCACTATACTTCCCAATCCCTACTCTAAATGACTTTTTGGTATGAAACCTCTCAAAGACAAACCTGATATTGAGGATGAAACAACTCCTTTAAAGCATAAGCAGTGATCAGATAAAGTTCATTGGCCTAGACACAGGAACAGAAGCTCTGTTCCATTTTCTTATTAATAGCAAAGTTTCCAAATAACACCACACCATTAAAACTCATTTAACTGTCCTGTTGAGTCTGAAATTTCAAATACTGATTGATCCACTAATATTAATCATTATGAAACCTTGGATCATTTTAATATATCAAATGGCAATCCTCTCTGAAGGTATAATGTAACAAACTACAGTCATTATGGCTTTTTACTTATTATTGATTGTGATACACAAACACAAAAGGTAAAACTGACCCTGTTGTGGATACAAGAAATACTATAAGCATTTAACAACTATTGAGTAAGAAAATGATGAAACATATGCTTAATGTTTCTTTTCTTTTTTTTTTTTTTGGTACCGGGGATTGAACTCGGGTCTTTGCGCTTGCACAGCAGGCGGCGAAACCACTGAGCTAAATCCCCGGCCCTGCTTAATGTTTCTTTAAAATAAACGGGGGGGGGGGGGACACCAAGCCAAAGACCACAAAATAGTATATACCAGGATAGTAAAACAAATAAGACAAGTTGTAGATTCTCTCGGTAAAATACTTGAATGCTACCCGGGTACTAGGTGCTACAGGGAATACATATTTATACTCTAAAAATTATTGAGGACCCTAGAGAGCACAAATGTTAGCACAGTAAAAAGTGCAAAATGATATCTAAGTATCATTACAAAAATCATCTGACCTTGGGAACCATCAAAGATCCATAAGTCCATTTGAGAACCATGACCTAAGAGTTGAGTGGCACTGAGGTGGATTGAGCGGACTATAGCCAGCCATGCCTAAGGACCACAGACATGCTTGGGGGGGGGGGGTTATGTCGTCATTAATTTTAAGGATATTTAAAAGAGGAAGGATGTAAATTGCAATATGGTCTTGATTAGAGGAAAGGCCTGCAGAAGCAAAGAAAGGAAACCAGGGTTCAGAGGTCTGACCACCTTCTGGTATCCTTAGTCCTGATTCTAGAACCCCTGGCTTCCACACACCCATCCCTTTCCTGGTGATGCAAGCTGCAAGCAAAACCATCACCTTACATGACCCAATTTTACATCTTGGCTATCATCAGATGTCTTTCTAATTAAATACAGGGCTTGATGTTTATGTAAAAGAATGAGAATGTGGACTGATTAATAATTTAACAAATCAGAGAAGATGACTTTGGGAATCCCATAATCACACGGTGCAGGATTCCTTTCATGGGTATCTCTAAGCTTTTGACTTCTGGCTGTTCAACTAGTCACTTGACTGACATCAGTAAAAGAACATGGAGGAGAAAGCACGTTCATGAGGCCTTACTGGTGAACACTAAGCACACACCCTATCAGAGTATCCCGTTCACAAGACATATCTGTGCACTATAAAGTGCACAGACTCAAATTCTCTTCCTTAAATGAGGGATTACATAGAGCCTTAAATATCCAATCCAAGCAGAAAACTCTTTTCTACCAATAAGTAATGAAGTATTTTAAGAGCATGTTTCTGTTTAAATTTAACTCTCCTGTTGGTCTCTACTTCACTCAATCTCAGCTTTTAATGGCCAATTTCAATGCAAATGCAATTAACAGGATGGGTAAAGTGAGAGTAGGAAAAAAGAAAGCATTAGGAAGGCCAACAATGGCCTCCCAGCAGTCCCTGCCAAGCTTCATCAATGGAGAGCTTCAATTTAACTGTGCTCCATCTAATTTGGCCCAGGGGCAGAGACCAAACAAGGTAACTGCTCCCTACCGAGGCTAGGAGATGGAGCCTCTTAGAATTGAGCAATAACACCCCATTTGACCATTCCCTTTTATTGATAAAACATCATGCTGTGAAGCTTGAAAACCTCCTAGGAGATCATTTTAGATCCAGCTGATTTAATTTGATTGATGCTCATGTTAGGTTTGAACATTGGCCTCAAACAATAAGAGAGAAAACTATTGCATTTCTGATCATATTTTTTTTCTTGGAAATTAATACATTTGTCAGAACAAAGCCAACCACCCACAACCACATGCTGTCCATAACCAGATCTACGAGATAAATCAAGAAGAGGGAGCGGGGTCTGGTGATGCATGCCTGCAATTCTAGCACTCTGGGAGGCTGAGGCAGGAGGATTGCAAGTTCCAGTTTAGTCTGGGAAACAGCAAATCAATGAGACCCTATCTAAAAAAGAAAAAAAAAATTCAGCTATGTGCATGTGGTTTAGGCCTAGGCTCAATCAATCCCTTGTCCTGAGGAGGGGAAAAAATAGGGAATGGAAAAAGCATACAGCCTCAAAAGTGAACTAAAGCTAAAGCATACTGATAGAGGTTTGAATTTCCATAGGATGGGTTTACAAACAGCTGTCTGACTGAAGCCACTTCTGCCATCATTTTGCAAGCCCTATTTTCCATGGCATCTTCATCTGCAAGAGAAACAGAGCCCTATTTTCTAGACCTAGGGAGTTGGGTTTTTTTTTAAGATGCTTTGAGGCAGTGATCTCATCTGACTAAATGAAGTCGTGACTTGCTGCTGTGCTTGGTTTCTAGCAGCCACTAGACAGAGCACATTCCAACCAGCAGCAAGACAGGATTTAAAGGACTAATTTCCCCACAGATAAACAGCAGTGACAATGCTCTATTTTATATCCTCCTCTTTCCAAACAGGGGCAGGAGAAGATACATGGCCACCACCTGCCCTCCCAATTCCAATAGAGCATCGAGATAAATGTGCCCTTCTCTGCTGCTCCAAAGGGAAAGGATTTGAGGAATTGCAGGCTAATACCCTGGGGGAAAAAGGCTAACCACACAGCATTAGGCACATAGCAAGTTCTCATTAAATATGATTAAGTCATTGATATCTCTTTCTCTTCTTTTCAAAGCTAGGGGATTCATACAGGGGGAAATATTAATATATATATAATGCATTAAATAACAGTGGTTCAAATTTAGGTCTCTCCATAGTAGTTAAGAAATGCTGTCTTTCTGTCTCCCTTTCCACCTACTCAACTCTCAACAAATACATAAACTTTCTTGGCATGTATTCTTATAGATCAATGTTCGTCCTAGCTCCATATTTTTCCTCTATACACTCATTTTCTTTGCCTTTTCATTCTTATTGTGTCCTGTTTTACTGTTTTGTATCTTGCCAAACTGCTTTCAATCCATTTTAAAACAAAGCAGAGTATAAACAAAGCGATATCATGACTATTTTTTGCCAAATGAAATACTGATGGAACTTAAAGTCTCGATCAATATCCAGACTTGGCATAAGTCCTGGAAAATCTAGGTTGCATAAGTATCTTCCATATAGGAGTTACTCTGCATCACTAGGATCATGTAAAAGCCATTGTGTTCCTTACTGGTCCCGTAAGACTGTGGCACTAAAAGATCACGTTCCCAATTTGATTCAAATAATAATGTCATGGCTTGTATCTAGATGTCCCCCCAAAGCCTCATGCACTTGGGTGGAGCTTTCCAGAGCTGGCTGGATCTAGGGTGTGTGCTAGAATTAGCATAGTTCTGGGCGTGCATAATGGAAGCCTCATCCTAGGTGTGGGTGGCACCAATCAATAGGCTTCTAGCTTAGATGGAATATAAAGGGAGAGAGAGAGAAGGCAGCTTACTGCTGGGGCTTCATTGCTTTCTGCCTGCCCTGGATTGTTAGAACCAGCTGATCATGGATTGAAACCTCTATGAACTATGAGCTGAAATAAACCTTTCCTCCTTTAACTTTGGCTGTCAAGCATTTTGTCTCAGCAACAAGAAAAGTAACCAAGACAAATGGGATCCCCAAACTCAACAATAGGAGATAACTTCTAAGAAAAACATTAGCTTAAAGACACACACACACACACACACACACACACACACCTTTTAAACAAGGTAAATAGTTAGCAATGAATGTTCATGGCCATCTATAAAAGTAATCCCACTCTAAGAGATGTCCAGACATATCAGCTGGTGGAGACAGGGCCAGCATCCAAATTGAGTCACAATGAAAAGGGAACCATTTAAAATGCAATCAGCAGCTTCATGTCCTCCCAGGAAGAGGGCACCCTGACCTGCAGGCATGAGTGTGCCCATCCACTTGGCAGGTACAGTATATTTCTATGAGAAATGTATGTGCTCAGTTGGCACTAGCCATTAAAACTCATTCAGATTTCTAGTCTTAAGAATTCAGGCCCACCAAGCAGCCTTCCAAGAATAATAGGGTTTTCCAAGTAAATGTCCCTGAAATGGGGAGGAAAATGTGAAGAGTGGCCACCCAAGCGTCACAGTTGTATTTACAGGTGTATTTCTGTCTGTAGGTTAGTAAGTTGGCATTTTACACAACTCTTGTTTGGTTAACCTGGATCAATCCCTATAGGAATGATCAGCTACAGCAAAATGGCCAAAAAGTCTCACTTTTAGACTTCCAGAGAGAACTGAGGTCTAAATCCAGTGAGGGCCTTACAAGTTCTACCTTCTGAGAACACTCTCCAGCTGAGTAGACTACATGTTCAGAAAGAGGAGGGAAGTCAGGTCTTTTTCAGAGAAAGAATCTCTCATTCAAAAGACTTTCCCATCCAGATCATACCAGAAGCATATAAAAGACACAAAGCAGAATCACCAGCCTTTAAAAAAAAAAGTAACACAAATGAAGTCAATCAAAACAAAAACCAGAAATACGGTAGAAAGACTACTGTGAGATATAAAACTATTATTATTACTTAAATGATTATTAAAAACTAAAATAGAAGACCCAGGTAAACAGATTGTCCAAAACCAAAATTTGAAACGTAAGGATAATTGTTTCAAAGAAGGGAGATAAATAAGTAAAAGACACTAAGGAAAGTTCACATATTACTAGAGACTGTATACTAATTCCAGTGAACAAGTCTGTGTAAGCCAATTTTTCTGCCCAGTAACTATCTCTGTAGATCACTTGTTTCCTCTTGAAATCTCTACAAGTGAGCAAAGATCCTCTGCGCCACACTCATCCAAGCAGAGATCACACTCATCCCAGCAGAGATGGTTTAGCCTGAAGTGCTGCTCAAAGACCTACCGTGAGAGCCTGAATCTCCTCCTCAGCTTCTGCAGTCGTCTCCTCCAGCTCCGTCTTCGCCTGGCGAAGCTGGCTCTCCAGGGCGGCACGGGCAGCCTGCAGGGCGGTCAGCTGGGACTCGCGCTCTTGCAGGGACAGCTGCAGCTCTGTGAGCTGGCGCTTCAGCTCCAGTTTCTGTTCCTCATGCTCCAGACTGACCTGGGAGAAAGAAAGAAATGCTCGGTTGACCTTAAAGGAAGACAAAGTGAAGATATAACCTGCTGTTCGACCTGCAGCTTAAACCTTGTCTCAGAAACAACTTCTAACCACTCAAGGAAGGGGAGGTGGGTGTAATCTGATGGGTCTGACTTCCATGCACCTCAAAGATCAACAGGAGTGAGAACACACCAGAAGATGTACAGTCCGCCCTCCAGGGCCATGGGTTCTGCAACTATGGATTCAATCTGCCATTGTTTGAAAGTATTCAGAGAAAAACAACTGTATTTATACTGGACATGTCTAAATATGTATGGGGTTTTTTTCTTATTATTCCCTGAACAATATAGTATAACTATTTACACAGCATTTACATTGTATTAGATATTCTAGAAATGATTTAAAGTATACAGGAAGTATAATACACTTTATGTAGTTTATGTGAAGGCTATATGCAAATACTACTTCATATTATATAAAAGACAGAGCATCTGGGTTGGTTGGTTGGGTGTATTGTTACTGTTGTTCTTGGTGTTTGCAACACTGGAGATTTAATCTAGGGCCTCGCCTGCTAGGTTAAGTGCTCTACCACTGAGTTACATCCTTGGTTGGCTGGCTCTTGCCTGCCTGCTTGCTTGCTTTCTTTCTTCCTTTCTATTTGTAAGACTGTTGTTCAGGCTGGCCTTAAACTTGCAATCCTCTTGCCTCAGCCTTCTGAGTAGCTGGAATTACAGGCACATACCACTCCTGGCTTGCATTTGCAGATTTTGGTACCACTAGGGGATTCTAGAACAACTCCTTTATGGATACAAGACTGTATATACTAATCATCCTTTACAAATATCTGAATGAATAGACAGCTTTCAAAAGAAAAGCTGAATAGCAAAAATTTCAAGTGAAAAATGACAATTATTATTATTAGAAAAGCATTTAAAGGCAAATGAATATAAATAACATCATATTAGTAACAGGAACACCTCTACAGTTAGAATGCAAATGGACAACAGGTCATGCTCTGATTTATTCTCACTATATAACCCACATTAAGGTCACATGTTAAGCTAATAATTCCTCCCTCCATCTGTCCATCCATCCATGTATCTACTCAATGTTTCATCCATTCATTGAAGAAAAGCTTACAGATCAATTTCTACATAAAAAGGAACCTGGAGATGAAAGACAATATCTGCCTTCATGAAATTAACATTCCCATATATTGTGGTCAAATGCAATGGTTAGGACACGTAGGGAGGTTGTGAGAACATAATAGAGAGGTAGAGAAGATAATTCTGAATCTATTAAATTCTCCAAATGAATCTGAAGGAGTCAAACAAGCAGATAAGAGAGGAAAGAAAAGTCCAGACATGTGAAGTAAGACATCCAAAAGTACATATGTGAACCAAACCATGGGACATCTTCTGACCTAACAAATGCTGACAAAACTGTCCTTGGGACAAAGGCCAAAAAAAAAAAAGAGATGTTCATTGCGCTTGGAGAGGTCACTGTCTAAGGAGACAGCCAAGTCCCAGGGTGATGAGCTCAGTACAGTAGGCTGCAGGGATGCAAAGGGGGCATGCAGTGGAAAAGGCTCCCCACAAAAGATGACAGCCAAGTCTCAAGAAGAAGGAATCGCAAAAGACTTAACCCACAGGAGTTAGTAGTTAACTAAAGGTAGGGCAAGGGACAAAGGACAGAGAGGAGTCAAAGGTGTATCCAGCATTTCTGGTAGAAAGACTACTGTTAAGACATAAAACTATTATTATTATTTAAATGACTATTAAAAACAGGTACATTACACAGGAAGGGAGACCACTAGCTACAACAAAGAAGAGAAGAGCAAGAACCTATTTGAGGGGAAAGACAAGAAATTTAGTCTGAACGTGCTGAACTTGAGCTCCATGGGAGACATCGAAGTGAGGATGTCTAATGACTATTGCAACAATGGGTCAGAAACTCCAGAGAAAACTCAGGGTTGGTAATCCACACCTGGAAGTCCTTAATAAAGCAGGGGTGGCTGAAGTCAGGACTGTGAGGTCTCTCTAAGAATGATGATTAAGATGACAATGATGATGACAATGATGATGTGAAAGCTTACAAGGCACTGTATTCACTCATTTCAGCCTCATAAAACCCAATAAAGGAGATCCTATAATTACCTCTACCTTACAGATAAGCAAATTGTGGCACTGAGGTATTAGGCCACTGAACAAATGTCACACAACTTAAAAAAAAAAAGGCAGGGCTGGCACTCAAACCTAAGAAGTCTAGCTCAAGTCCATGTTTACAAATGTTGCACCTTACTGTCTGTCTTATTAAAATGCCAACAGTCAGAGCAGGGTGGAACTCTACAGCAAGCCTGAAAATTTCCAATGCTCCTCTGCAAATCCATGGGAGACAGGGGATGGTTTGAGTAAAGGACAATGGAGAGGCCCTGCACCTTGGCAGCTCTACACACATTGCTAAAGAACAGCTACCATTACCCACACAAGGTAGGGAAGGAGCCAGGCATGGTGATGCATGCCTGTCATGAGGCCACCCTGGGCTACATAGTGAGTTCAAGGCCAGTCTGGACCCTTTCTCAAAAAAAAAAGAAAAAGAACAGAAAAAAACCCTTAAAAAGTTAGCAAAGCCTAAGGGCCCTTTAAAGTAAACCAAAATTGAACCTGAGTCCTCTGCCCTCTCTCAATAGCAGCATGTGGCCAAGAGAAGATAGGCCAGCCTTGTTAAATTTAGAGCTAAACTCCACAACTCCCAGGGAGAATAGAGTCCCGAGCCTCTCATGAAATGTTTTAAGTTTCTCCTACCATCCTTGGGGGTGGCTAGGCAAAGTGATTCATGGAAAAGGCAGCAAGCTTCCTGGGGACATTTTAATTGCCCAGAGGAGCTGTAGGGCAGGCTTGCTAAGACCCACATATGTGGAAAAGGAAGGCAAAAGACAGTAGTCAATGTTCCCAGGATAAAAAATCTGTCCGGATTATTTACACTCATTCCCTTAAGGCGGCTTCTATCAGGAAAAGTGAAAATATATCCTGATTAATAAAAGACCATCCCCTAAGACTTTCAAACAACCTCAAATTCCAGGAAGAACAAGAATCACTTAGGGTTTGTTAAAAATGCAAATTCCTTTCCCCCTTACCAATTCCATCTTTAAAAGCTGAAAGTGAACACCTAGGACTCTGCATGTTAAAACAGTCTGGGTGATCCTAAAGAAGGGGGGTCATACTTCCACAACCCCTGAAAAATGTGAAATGATACCTTTTTTCTGTCCTCTGGAAAGGGGCTTCATTTTAAAATTCTAGTACAAATTAAGACACGCCTAGATATGTTTATTCCCCAAGGTTTAGTCCTCAAACTTGTATGCTTAATCACAAGATCATCTGCTCTTTGAAGAATTCCATCACAAATATTTAATCATCTACCATGCATGAGACATTGTGTCTTCATTCCCAGCCCACATGTCCAACTTCCAATAACCGCTGTCCTTGAATCCTGCTTCTGCATGGCTACCTAACCCCGGCTACTAGACTGAAAGCCTCCAAAATCAAGAACTCCTGTCAGCACCACTGTATATTCAGGCTAATAATTGGCACACAGCACATATTTAATAAATACACAATATATCAATGTAGCTTCATGGCTTCAATCATCCTCAACATATCCACAACCAAATTTGCTACTTTTTTTCCTCAAAAACTTGGCTTCTCTTTCCAGCATCCTTATTATCTCTGAAGAGAATTCCTGTCTATGACCCCACCACTGTGAACATGCCCAATCTCATCTGAAGAGAATTTCTGCAGTCAAGTAAACCTAAGTTTGGTTTTATGCTTTACTCTTCCCCTGTCATAGAGTCCTCTGGCACTGACAAACCTCCTCTGTCATTGAGCTATGTTACACACCCAGCAGTGCTGAGACCCATGTATGGACAACATTGTGTGGCCCTCATTAAACTCTGATAAAAGAGGAAGTGTTTTGCTCCCATTTGACAGATCCACCAATTTATGTGATCCACACAAGACCCTAGGAAAGAGACACCACTATCACTAACATGTTACTGACAAGCAAACTGGAGCACAAAAAGATTACATAGCCTGCAAAATTAATAGAGGTTATAAAACTAATAAGAAGTGGAGATGGATTCTAACCATGTGGCATAGTCAGTGGCTCTTATTTGCCATGCACAATGCCTCCTGGATGTATACCAATTTATGCTTGAAAACTGGTCAGTATGGGGCCTGAATCCCCCAACAAAACCTCTCCAGAAATCACTCCTCCCTCTTACCTCCCTCAATCTTGTCTCTAGCTCCAGCAGCCGATTCTTGTCACTGTGATCTTGGTGGCTGATTTTCTCCAGCTGCTCTTCCAGTTTTCGGTTCTGGGCCTCCAATTTCCCAGCCTGGGTCTCCAGGTAAAATTTCTGTTGCCTGAGTTCTGAAATCATCTCTTCCTGGGCCTTCCTGGTGGGGGTGGTAGGAGGATCCAAACAAAACACAGTCATGTCAGAGGTGAATGTATCCCCTCAGAAAGACAGGCAGAAATGGAGTAAAATGTGTATTCTCATCAAGTGAACTGTGGCCATTCCCAGGTTAGCTCCATCTTGATCTGCCCTCATGGACATGATCACAGGATGGGAATCTAAGAGTCTCTCACCTCTGAGATTAAGGTCAGTAAATGGGGTTGGAGGAGATACTAGCATTTCAGTCCTTTGGTGGACTTTTTCAATTTTTCTTGGAGAGTCTGTACAGGAGAACAGAACAGGGCCACCTTAGCTACAAGAACGGCCCCATAGCTCCTTAACACAGGCTCTGGGGAAGAATGTGCAATGAACAGAGAATGTTATTCCTTCTAGCTCCCTGTAGGACTTCCTTACCTCACCACCAAACTGCTTATAAGTTCAAAAACTAGAACAACTCAAAAACTGAAAAGCAGCCTACCAAACTGGTTTGGGTTATGATGGAAATGTTTTGAAAGATCTCTGAAGAAAAAAATCTAAGGGGAAAAAAATCCTGGAGATTATAATTTTTCAGGCAAAAAGATTATGATCAAAGTGCCCTGAACACAGACAGTCCTTGTGGAGTCCAGACATCCTCCCTAGGCAAGGCACAGCCTAACTGTGGCCCAATGGATGGCCCACCTGGGCGAACACAAGATCACCTCTTACTAATTACAGGAGGTAAGTCTGGGGAACAGGGACAGCAGCTCTCCAAAAGCAAGCTATAAATAGCCTCCTTGGAGAGAGCAAAACACTGATGGTAATGTGAGGTATTTAAGAAAACCCAACTCAAAAGAGAGGCCACGGTAGAGTGTGACAACTTAAGATAGGGCAAAATTACATAAATACAGGAGGTCTGGGGCAAGAATAAATCTGCTCCAGCTCTATCAGACTGAAGGAGAACAAAGTTTATGAACAAGGAGAGAAGATCAAAGTGTAATAATGTACACAGTTAGAATCTGAATACTTACATGTTCCTTTGGGTAAAGAGGCTGCTGTTTGCTGCAAGTTTATTTGCTTCAGAAAGTTCCACAATTCTCTGTTCCAGGGATCTGATCTTGGAATCCATGGCATTGATCATCTGAAACACAGGGGACCTTTGCATCCTCATACATAGACAATTATAGCAGAATGGGATTAATGTGGGCCATGTGAGCCAAGGTAAAACTCTCATCTGAAATGCCAGCAGTTTGGCCAGAGGTAACAAGGGACTCAACTAGTCCATACTCTGAAGATCACACACATCACCATGCAAACAACTGGTACTCAATTGTTTTTCTAATCAAAATTAAATGCCTCTCCTCCCATGAGTTGACTGGCTTGCATTAAAAACACACAGAAGGAACTATTCAGAACCCGACATCCTATAAAAACACAGGGCCCTTTACAGTCCCCTATCACCTGCATGTGACCTGGGCCTGCAGGAACCTCTAACTTGAATGTGCAAGTTCATATTTATCACATATTTCATATTTCCCAACTTTCCCATACTTCCCAACCTTAATTGAATCATAAGAACTGGGGGTGGAATAGGGTGGGTACTTGTTAAAAATATACCTTCCCAGGACCCTCCCTTAGAGATTTTCTGATGTGGGAAGTCTCCACAGGGTATGAGGTAATAAAGTACAATACACATAATACAGTAGTATTAAGAAGAAGCATCACATATAAATGCTATTTAGCTGCAAGTTTCTAAAACAATTGGCTACCTGGATGAGAAAGGAGAGAAATAGCCAAATTTAGCACAAAAATGCAGGAAATCAAGGCCACTGGGCATTTTGAAGGATCACATCCTGGTGGGGGGCAGATGAGTGGGAGTTATTAAAGAAGAGCACAAAAACTAGCCACCCAGAGCCACCAGCTCCATGGCTTTGAGGACAGTGAGTGGTTTTGGAGAAAGCTTCCCATTTCCTACAAACTCGGCAAGCTCACACAGAAAGAAGTCACCAAATCAAGTTGGGTGATTCTTGGCAAATTTCAAAAGTCCTCCTTGGAAAATGAGCTTTGTGAGTCCTTCTACCTACCGCCTTCTGCTCACTGAGAATCTTGCCCTTCTCGTGGGCCTCCTCTTCGTGTCTCTGCATCAGGTTCTCCAGGCTTTCCTTGTCAGCCAGGTCCTTCTTTATCTGATTGTCCAACACCTATGGAAACAAGAGAAGTGAATGTCCTGGGTAGCCATCCCAAGGGGAGAACTAAACAGGGACGCTTGAGAAAAAGGAGGAGGGGAAGTGGGGGAAATAACAGCAAGGCACACAGCCTCCAAAGCCTAGAGCAAAAGAAGGCAAATATTAAAGGTCTGCTTACCAACCAGGATGAGGTTAAGAATTCAGATACCACCATCAAATGGCAAGTAACAGTTGGTCATTAACTAAGAACTTCTTTTAAAATCAGCAGCCCAAAAGACCAGAGAGATAGATCCAAAATGAGTTAGACTCCAGAATGAGAGAGGAGAGAAAGATCTTTCTAGTAATTTCTATCTCAAAAATAAATTTTTAATAATTTGCAAATATTACCTGAGGAAAACTTTTTCTTAGCCAACGAACCAGTGGTTTCAGAATGTTCCTCAATGCTAATTTATTCAAAATTAATTCTGGATACACTTGGGGCTTGTGTAGAGGGAAAAAGCTGAAGGGAAGAGGAAGTCTGTGTAACTGAGGCTGAGTTCAGAAATAGCCAGGGACAAGAAGATGCTGCCCACCAATAACACAGGTAGTCAGTCAATGGATGGAAAAGACAACTTAAAAGGAAAAAAGAAAAGATTCCTTTCCTCTGATCCAGCTAGAAAAAAAAAAATCAATGGGAATTGAAATCTCTCCCAGGAGAAGAGAAACCATATAGTCTCAAGAGCTGAGAAAACCACTGGAAGTTCCTACTATCCCCAAGAGGAAACAGTAAAATAAAACAGTAATGGTGTCACCAACTACCAGCTTGATCTAAAGTTCTGTGAGGCACACACAGTTCTACCATTTGCCAAAATAAGCAAAAAGAAAGGAAGAAAGAAGACATTACAACACATCTGAGCCTTTGGCCATGACCCTGTGTTTCTCATCACAGAGAATCAATCCTACTTTTGCAAATGATACTGACTGCATAAAGAAGAACAGAATATTGGGGATAAAGCCGCAAGAATTGGGGTCATGGACAGGACTGAAATCTGCCTTTCCCACAATGCCTATTGTGAAGAAGCCTTCATAGCTCATGGGGACATCATCCCTAAAAAGAGCCAGTCAGCAGGGAAGGGGTCCACATGATAAAGGAAAGAACAGGTTTCAAAGAAGGCTTTAAACTAGGACTGATGAAAAACACAGAACGGGAGTTGGCAGAGAAGAGCAGAAGGTGAAGAACAGGGTCGTGAGAGGAGGGAAACAGCTCAATAGGATGATAAGTGACCCACTCTCTTGGATGTCTGAGTGTGATTCTAAAATTATGAGCAAGTACAGGGTAGTATCTAGGGTATGATCATAATCATTACTAAAATGGCTTTATAAAAGCTGGAACAGGAAGCGTAAAACAGAAAAGGTTAAAAAGAAATGGCTCTATACAGATTCCAGTAGGGAAGGTAGACAACAGATCTTTCCCTAACCTTCCCTGGGACCAAGAAAACAAAGTTCTTTCTATCTAGGTTAGTGGAGATCCCATAATGTCTTGACCAGGTATGTTTCTTTTTTTTATGATGTGCTTAAACAGTGAAAGGCATTTTTAGGATGACTCCATTCAAAATAAGATCTCGACTTTGGCAGTGACAGATACCATTAAGAGGTACAGTGAACCAGAAAGGATAAGCCTCTCTCAGGAATGGGACCATCTCTCGGCTTGGATAGGGTTCAAACGGTGGAAGGATGAACAAGAAGATGAACCGGGTGGTAGAGAGGGCAATGAGAGATTCCATCGAAGATGTCTAAATCAATGTAAGCCAAAATATGGCTTTTGATTGGAACATCAGTATGGATTTACAAAGGGCTACTGTCATCATCCAAAGGTGCCAGTGGATTACTACATATAGACTCACCATTTTCTGAAAATTAGTTTATTCTCAAGATAAAAGTCTGGAAGCCAATAAAAATTCCAATCTAAAAAAAAAAGGATGGTATATAAAATTTTAAATGCACTAAAGTGGGGAGGGGGTCACATGAGAACATTCTGAGGTCGCTTCTGAATTATTTTCCTATATTTCTTTCAATGGAAAGTAACTGAATGTCATGCCAGAACGGTGATGGTAGCAATGCTGGGTAATCATGAATATGTTTGACTCCTCAAGAAAGGTCCATTCAATTCTGAGGATGCCAACCAAATCCATGATGGGGTTGTCACAAAAATTGACAATCTTTTTCAGAGTATGGATTGAGGAGGAGAGATAATATCTGAAATATGACCAATGTCATATTCTCAAGAATGTAAGAATGAATAAAAGGCTGGGTGAGAATTAGAAAATGCAATGTGATTTTAAAAGGATAGCAATAGGCTGGCATCCATTTCTGATAACACAACATTTTCCTCAGAAAGACTTACAAGTTGTTAAGAGAGTAAGAAATTTCAGATAAAATCTAAGTGAAAAGAAAAGCAGGAAAAAGGATGATACAAAGCTGGTTTTAAGGTTTGGTTTGATTTTGTGTTTGCACTACTGGGGAGTTGAGCTACATTCCCAGACCTACTTTTATTTTGAGACAGGATCTTACTAAGTTGCCTAGTTCGGGCTCAAACGTGCTATTCTCCTGCCACAGCCTCGTAGAGGGCTAGGATGACAGGGTTGTGTCACCAAGCTGTCTTTAAACTAAGCTTTTACTGAATCAAATAAACTTGAGCTTCAGTTTTGTTGCGGGGGGAGTTGGTTTTTTTTGAGAAAGGGTCTCACTATGTAGTTCAGCCTGGCCTTAAACTCACTATGTAGCCCAGGCTGGCCTCAAACTCACAACAATCCTCCTGCCTCAGCTTCCTAAGGGCTGGGATTACCGGCATGTGCCACTATGCCTGGCTTGAGCTTCAGTTTTGATAACCTCAAAGGTCAAGAAGAGACAGAAATCAAAGCCCAGAGTTTCACCCAAAATGAAAACATTTTCATCCAAGGGCTTAAAAAATTACCCATTAATGATTTTCCAGGGAAAATGGACAGCTCCCTAGGCACACAAAATAAAATTGGAACCATGAAAAATAAATGACAGAAACAGAGCAAAAACAGACCTTCAAAATACATATCATCAAACTACTATGCTTGATGCAGTTCAAAAAATAAAAGATAGACTTGAAAATAAATATATGGAATCAAAAATTATTATATTTTTGTTTCTTTTTGTGTTTTGAGAAAGGAGCTCATAAGTTGTGCCCAGGCTGGGCTTTAACTAATGATCCTTCTGCCTCAGCCTCCTGAGTGCTAGAATTACAGGCATATACCACCATGCCTGGCATATTATTTTAAATAATCTAATAAACTTGAGAATGGACCAAATAGAATGTGTAGAAATAAAAAATACTATTACTGAAATTAAAAACCCAATAGATGGATTTAACTATAGATTAGAAAGAATCAGGAAACTGGAAAATAAGTTGGAGGAACTTACCCAGAATATAGCACAAAGATATGAAAAATATGAAAAAGGACAGACTAGAGGTGATCTAATACATACCAAATCTAATTCTCTAAAGGAAAGGAAGAGAAAATATTTGAGATACAAAGATCACTAATTTCCTAGGATTGATTTTTTTTAAATTAAAAACATACCAATGTATTTGAAATTGCAGTAAATCACAAGCATAGTAAATAAAAAGACATCCACATCTAGATACCCCACAGTAAAGGTTCAGAAGAATTTTTTTAAAAGTGAAAATTTAAAGAAACAGCCAAAGGAAAATGTTGTATTACTTTAAGAGAGAACAGCTGTTAGGCAAATGACTTCACATTAGCCATACTAGAAGCCAAAAGTCAAAGGACTATATCTTTAAACAGTGTTTACAAAAAGATAATGGATAACCTAGTCAGCGTCTCTTCAACAAGGAGAGTGAAATAAATACATTTTCAGGCAAACATCACAGAGAACTTGTCACTAGCAGATCTTCACTAAAGAAAGTTCTCAAGGATATACGTTAAAATGAAAAAGGGACCAAGATTGGAGATACAGGAAGAAAATTAAAAGCAAAAAATGTGGTGAATCCGTGGCTAACTCTAAATTATCATGGACTGAATGACAGTAGGTTTTTAAAAAATTAAAGGCAGGGCTGGGGATTTAGCTCAGTGGTTCCGCCGTCTGCCTTGCAATCGTAAGGCCCCAAGTTCAATCCCTGGTACCAAAAAAATTAAAGGCAGAATTGTAATATAGACTGACAATTTTTTTTTCTTTTTTTTCTTTTAACCTCAAACTCCAAGCATTCCACCATGGAGTTAGGACAGCATTTGACCCAAACAATCCTTCAATCTAGCAAGAAGTGACCAAAAATGTCCAGGATGAGAAGGGAGCTACATAGCACAAGTGGAGGAATGCCAGGGAAGATCAAAAAGTGTCTTTACTTTAATTTTCTCCTCGTAGTGCTGCTCTTTCTGCTTCAAGTGTACTTCTAGGTGCTGGGCTGAAACTTGGGCCTCCCGGTGTTTCTCCTCCAGCTCCTGGGCATCAAAGAACAGGTGGTCAGATGTGCAAAGGGAAGGACACAGCCAATGTATGTTAGTCACTCACAGGAAACATGACTTTGGCACAGGTGCCACAGATGACAGGCAGCTGCTCCTCCATTACTACCCCAAGGCTCTTGGGAAGGAAATCACCACCATGCCTTGGCCCTGGATGTCCCAAGTGCAAGTACCCACATACAAGTATACACATCACTAGTGGGCTGTGAGGCCTGAGATCAGAAATACGTCAATGTGACAGGTCGAACAAAGGCAGGTGTTCAACTTCCCATGGAGAAATAAGAATAACAAGACAATATTTGAAAGTTTAGCACAGTACAAAGCTCCTGACCACTGTCTTGAGTCTCAGGTCATTTTCACTATTATGACAGCCTTAAATGAGAAAAATAATTTTAATTTTAATTTATTCTGGTGATAAACAATATTTTGTGCTTCCCTTATTAACAAAATTATTGCTCAAGAATCCTACCAAAAAAGGAAAACTAATGTTACGATTCAAGCACTTTGAGTTTTGAATGATTATTTTAACCGGCTGGTATATGAAGAATGTGAATGTCAGGAGATGTGCATGTGGTATAATATTTATATGAAACGATGCTAATGGGAACAAAGACGAACATAAAATACACAGATAATGACGAAAATCCACACATATTAAAGATGGGAAGAGAAGCTGGAGTAACATAAATAGCTCAAATTTAAGGTTCTCTTAGTTCTTTTATTGTTTTCTGCTTTTAAACAAAATTTTAATTCATTTGAAAATTATACCAATTCATTTGCCAATGTATTATAAACTGATCTTTTAAAAGACAGCATTCAATTCACTGAAACATTCTCTAAATGCACAGATAGCGGCATCTAAATTATTTCTTATGAATCTGGACCCATTAGTTAATTACTGACATCAAGAGTCATTACTCCGAGTTTTCATCTCTTCATACTATTATGATTTTTTTCTTTGAAGTGAAACCAATTAAGAGAATTTTGAAGAATGAGGAAATTATACAGGATATGTCCATAAAATGGGGGGTGAGTCCTTTGAAATTCACATGCATATAAAATGTTAGTGATTAAGCTTTTGAAATTCTAAAGTCTGCAAGCATGGGCTTTACTTTGGGGACCATTAAAATGTTCAATCTTAAGACCAGGTGCACAAAATCCATTGCAATTTAACAGATGTGATACTGGAAAGTTGAATGTAAACAGGATTCTAATTAATAAAAACATTTTTAAGGGCTTTATAATACTCACTAAAGGATTGCCTGCAATGGCTTCTTTGATTAAAGGAAAAGACTCTGCTGTAATGAGAACCCCAATTATCAGTTTTGAAAGTTCTTAGCAGAATAGCAAATATTTTAAGGCAAATGGTATTTTGGAATCTGTTTCCAAGTGTCATCATTATATAACAGCATTAAGGACCACTCTTTGCCCACGTCCTAGATACTCTCCAATCTAAGAACAGGGTTCTTGAGCAAAAGGCACCCTCTGTTAAATCACAACCACAGAGGTACTTGGGCAGGTAGTAAGATACATTCAGAAAAGGAAATCTGCTCCTTTTTTCTTTTACTTAGAAATCACTTCATAATCTCTTTTTCTTAGTTTCAGTCCTAATAAGATGGCACAGAAATCAGAACCTAAAAATATGTCAAAAACTCAGATACCCGAGACTAATAACTTTAAGACTAAATTTCTGTCCTGTATATGAATGGAAGTTTGCAACACATAATCCAGATATGCAGAACTCTATACTCCAACATTTTTTCGTTGTAAATGAACCTTTGAAAAGCAGGTATTTTAAAGTCTGCTTGGTAGTTTGGCATTTTTTGTTGTTGTTGTCATTTTTTTTAAGCATATCTTTTTCTATATGTACTGGATCAACTCTTCAGTCATGTTATACAAATCCTGTTGTTTAGGGCTATATTTCCAGCTCCTAGAACATTGCCTGACCCATAGTAGAAGCTCATTAAATATTTGTTGAATGAATGAATGAACACATCACCATTAAACAGAGAAACCATTAAACAGAGTTAATCACTTCATTTGTACCAAGCAAAGGACAGCAGTGGTAGTTTCTACTTTTACTCACAATAAAATTCACACACTTGACAATAGCCCAAAGAAACTTTGATGATGGAACAAGAGAACAGAAAAAGTAGACTAACAGTTACATTTGCCTTTGTGTGTAGATAAAGACTGAGTGTCAAAGCAAAACTATTTAGCCAATTCCTCTTTTACCCATTTGTTCAAGAACAGCAATATGAGCGCATAAATCAAGTGTCAAAAGGTTTGGGTTGGGTTGGATTTGATACTAAGTACTATATAAGTTGGCCATTTTTGAGTTCATATACTTGCTGGCACCTCGTTTCCCAGAAGCGATGCAAAGACAGAGAGAAGTGGCCTGTTCACCACCTCGCCTCCTTATAGTAGAGAAGAATAGCCAGTTACCCGAGAGTCTCTCCTAGGAGCAGGACAGGAAGGGTTATGAACGGACCACAGGTCATCAACAAGACTCTCAAACATGACATCAAATTTCTGACTTTGGGAATGAGATCCAAGGAGAACTCTTCAAAGATGCTGCCCTCCTCCCTAGCAAGGGCAAAACTTCAACACACCTGCAACTTCAACAACCCAAGCCTTCCTTAATTAAGTTAATTTGGTCATCAGAACCTGAGACAGAATCAGGATGATTAGAAACCTAAAAAAAGACCAGCTACATCTAAGGAAATTGAAGAAATAACAATAATAACCAACTGTAGCAAAGAGAGTTGAGTGGGTGAGCACGGATCTATGACAAATACTACTCTAAGAAAAACAATTCTGTATGACTAATTTCTTTCTTCTCTAAATGCAAGAATCTGAGTTTTGGTCTTAAAGGTCTAAACCCACAGCTTTTTAAATTGACACTGCAAATTTAAGAGCCATACAAAGCACTGCCACCAGAAGAATGTAAATGCGCCTATAAAAATCAAAAATCAAAAAATCAAAAATCATATCCCTCCCGGAAATCCAGGAGCTATTCTTTTTATTCTTATTCCCAATAAAATCTCTCCTAACCTCAAAACAAAACAAAAAACAGATGCACATCCTACTAAAAAATGCCAGCCAGTAGCAAACAGAACAAAAAACAACATCAGCAGATCTGGTACCAGTACTGAAATGTCCAATATTTAGTTATTCACACTATTCTACAACATGGCACACACTGAAAACACCTCTCTTAATTAACCTACTTGGTGATACCACCCCTGTGATCACATTTAGTTCTTGTTTTTACCCCCTTCCCTTTGCAACCTCTAACCTGTTATCTGTGAACTTTGCAACTTTTGTTCCTGCTCACCAGAATTTTATCAGCCATCTGCTGGATCTGTTGGGATTTTGTCTGGATGTCATCCTTCAGTCTGTTTTCTCTACGCTCCATGGTCTCTAGTCTCTTTACCTTGTTCTCCAGAGAATGGCGGCGTTCCTGTAGATCATGAATCAATCAGAGAGTTTTAATGGAGCAACCACTATGGGCATATCACCTGCATAGAGGGAAAGAGCCCTCGGAAGCATACACTCGAATCAGGAAGAAAAGTCTCGGGCACCTGAAGCAACATCGAGGAAAATAAGACTGGAATCCAGGTGCTCTGTTGTATAATTACAAGAGTGCATTCATTCATTCAAATATTTACCAAGCACCTACTATCTGCAAAGTACCACACTAGGCATCATGGGAAATACTCAGTGGAAGATGATATAAGTCCCACCCTTATAAAAGATAAGACAAACATAAATAAATACAACAGGTTAAGAAGGGAAAGAACCACAAGCCAAGCAGCTATAAGGTACTGGGGGAGGTAGCAGGCAGGAAGGAGGACTTTTAACCACACAGTTGAGTGGTGGGATAACACAGGAGTGAGCTCTGGAGAGGGATGGTGAGGGTGTATAGGTCTAGGAAAGACAGGAGAGAGTGGACAAGTCACACACAGGGAAGAAACATGGAGGTCTTCAAGGGTCAATTTAGGCCCCAGGTGTGGGTATAGCAGAGAACAGGAAGGACCAGGTGAAAAGGTGGAAGGACAGCATTTGTGGGTCCAAATGGTTGAGCTTTATGTACCAGACTTAAGGGTGCACCTAAGATATATGGAACCCCTAAAGGGTTTGGGATGAGGGAGGGTGCTTGGGGTCTATGAATCTGACATTGTATGAGCTGGCTGGGAGGAAGGAGAGACTGTAAGCACAAGGTCAAGAAATTTCTACATTTGTTTAGTTAAGGGGAAAGGGGAGCAAACAGGGATGAAGGGGAGAAATAGGGTATCTGTATTTATAGGACCAAGTGACTCACAGAACAGCAGGGTCAAGGACAAGCAAATGACACAAAGGCCTCAAGACTGGAGTAACCAAGAGAATGCTGGCGGCCCTGACAAGCCTGAGGAAAACTGAGAAGGGGAACCAGCTCATGAGAGGAGTCACCGAGTTCACTCTAAATTTGAGGCACTACTGAGGCACCCATTCAGGATTTCAAGAGAGCAGTGGGAAAGATAGCCAGGAATGTGGTGAGAACAGCCCCAAAGAGCCATGTGCTGGTAAACGCACACCCAGACTGTAATGGAGAAATGCAAACATCCAGCAATAGGACAGTGACATCAACTACCACACAACCATTCTGTGGGACAAACGCCAAGGGTTAGGAGAAGCAGAGACAAGAAAAGAGAAAGTGTCACCTTTTACTCTATATTTGTCTAAACTGTTTAAGTTTTCATAATGAAAAGGTACTCACATATTTTCAGTATAATTATATAAATGACTTCAACAACAACAACAACAACAACAACAAAGAATATGAGAGAGAGAAAAAGCCCAAAAATAGAGATTTGAGAGTTGTCAATGTGGGTCATGGGTGAAATCTTGAGAATTAATACATTATGAACATTGTGGGGGGAACAGTAAGGCATGAGAGGGGAGAGAAAAAGTCAAAAGTAGAGTTACAATGAGCCTATATAAATATAAATTCTCCCAGATTAGTAAGGCGGTCAGAGGAAAACAAGCAGACAGGAAAGCTTTCGTTGAGACATCTTTCAACTTGGGGCTGCTGAGACACATCTTCCTTTCCTCTTGGGAGAAAAGGTTTCCAAGCCTGTCAAGTTTCATAGGGATCTTCTAAAAGGAAGCAGTGGTCAAAAATAAGCAAGTGATGGTTTTGTAGTTTCTTTCCCTTGGCACAGCCAAGATCAGTCGCATGGTCACTGCGGGGTAGGGGGGTCAGTCTGTGGCCACCTGGAGACTCCCTGCTCACCTCAGCTTCAACCAGCTTCTTTCTTATGCCTTCCGAAGAATCTTCTCGGTTCTGCAGCTTCTCCAGCTCCCTCTCAGCTCGCTCCTTTGCCTGACGGATATTCTGCAGCAGCTCAGTGGCTTCTGTGCTGGCTTTTACTGCCTATGAGGAAAGAAGGTATAGGACATAGATGTCCAAATTTATTCATGGAAAAAAGGGGTGACAATACCCTGAATAGAAAAAGTAGGTAACACCAAGTATATATTATATCCATTCTTCCAGAAATACATAAGCATTCATTTCATTCTGTATTTTATGACATGGCTGAATTTGGAATACATCCTACAAATAAAATTGATGTACAGTATTCTTCTTTCATGGGATACATAATAGTGTATCTGACAATCATTTGCATCTAAAATTGATGCAATATAGAGAATGCAAACAAAAAGGTCTAGATGCATTGATCTACCTAGGAATTAATATATTTACTGCTGGCCATAATTTTCTTATTTTAATTATCTCATTTACTAGTCTTCCTACAGGGATTTTGCAACACTTTTATAAAAAGAAAAAAAGGTTAAAGCTATAATTTAAACTTTTTTCTTTAAATAATACCTTTCAAAGAGTGAAACAATCATTATGTTCATAATTCACAAATCCACATTTATTAAAAAAAAAGCTAAATCTCGGGCCGGGGATTTAGCTCCGTGGTGCTGGTGCCTGCCTAGCAAGCACAAGGTCCTGAGTTTGATCCCCGGTACCAGAGGAAAAAAAAAAAAGCTAAATCTCAAAGTTAACTATGTACTTATTAACTGTTTTGAGTTTGAGTTACATTACAGCTTTTTCAGTATTGTAGGAGAGATCTGAGTTTATGAAACCAACAATTTCACATGTATTTGCTCTAAATCAAAATTTTTAAAAGTGCTAGAAAACTCCAACTCTGTGACCTGTATTGTCCCACATGGGAGCCACTAGCCACATATGGACACTGAGCTCTTCAAATGTGGCAGAAATTTCAGTTTTTAAATTTTAGTTTTGAATTAATTTTAATTCAGATCAATTAAAAGGGAAATTAGTGTTTGGTGGGTGAAGACTTTCAATGTTAAAACATGAAAAATTTCCAGAGATCTAGTACCCAAACATATGAATATACTTAGCACCACTACACTTAGAAATACACTTAAAAACAGATAAGATGGTAATTTAATGTTATGTTTTTATCACAACAAAAAAAAGTAATAGCTCTATTAAGCTCTATTAAACCAAGCCAGCAAACATATGCATGAACATTCTGATGTGAACCCCATGCCCCACTACCACATTCACTCTGCTCCTTTCTTTAAACATTTCTAGTGTTCAAATAAAGGGAAAGCCTAAAAATTGCTGCGACTACATCTTAAATGTTCTCACCTCACCGTAAGTATGTGAAGTAATGGATATGTTAATTAGCTTAATCATTTCACAATTGTATACATATATCAAAACATCATGACATGAACCATAAATATGTATATGTAGTTTTCATTTGTGAATTATACCTTAATAAAGCTAGGAGGGAAATAATTCAATAAAAATTTTCAAAATGTAAAAATAGAAGTAGGGACATTAGCACAAACTTTGCAAGATGCTATCTACCAGACCCACCCACTCTGTAACTCTATGATGACTCCAAGGGTCCTCGAACTGTGCTACCTCTTCTAGGCAGCAGTGTTTCTGATGGAAGCAGTCTGGGTGGAGAACAACTCAGGCTTCTACAAAAGTGCAGAATGGAAAGCCTGGCCTCTTGATCACTGGGGCATGAAAGGTCACCTCCTAGATTCTGACGTAGTATAATTTACACTCATACAGCTTGGTTTTTAAAAGTAAAGACTGCTAACACATCTCGAAAGGAAAAAGTATGTTCAGAACTCTAATACTTTCAGGTAGTAGCTCACTGCCCCTTCAATTTTCTCGGTGCTAGGTGACTAATTCTGTTTCATTCATCTTTAGGGTTCCAGGACAAGGCAAAGAAACGTATGTGGAAATGGGGGTAAGTTCCTGAAAACATCACCTCAGGCTTACCTTTTCCAGCTTCTCTTGGAGCTCTTGGATTTTGAGCTGCTGCTCAGCATTGATCTAGAATTAAAATCCCAGGAAATAAAGCAGAAGGCAAATTAACATTAATATGTTGTACATTTAGTGCAGTTCTATCTCCCTGAGGTTTCTGTGGGGACTTGGAGGTTTGTTTTCCAGAACCTACTAATGGTAAGCAAGAACAGGGGCCTATCAGTTCTTTGGAAGTCTTTGAACGTTCCAGAGCAAACCTCCCTGTGAACTATTTCTCTAGGACTAGCAATATATAAATGGTAAAAACAGAATCAAAATTGCCCAGTGCCTTAGAACAATAATAATTTTCACGTTTTTCTAAGTGTCTGGGTTTATGTCTTACTGTGACAAAACAGAACGAAAAATGAAGTGTCTTTTCTCTCTTTTAGAACCATAGTATAAACAACATGGTGACCCAGAGGAGCACCATCAAATCTGGAGGGGTCAGGAGTATAGCACAGTGATAGCCCTGTGTTTAGCATCCACAAAGTCCTGGGTTCAATCCCCAGCACCAAAAAAATAAAATAAAGCTAGAAGAGAATTCTCATATCATTGATTATAAAAGTATTCTTTTTTTTGGTACCAGGGATCGAACTTGGGACCTTGCACTTGCGAAGCAGCCGCTGGAACCACTGAGCTAAATCCCTGGCCCTGTAAAAGTATTCTTAATCAATGACTGGCCACTGACAGTAACATAAAAAAAAAAAATCTACCCAGATACCCAGAATAGCGAAACCAATCATGGAATATATACCTTCTCAAGTTTGGAATATTCTCCTACTTCAGGTTTCCCTTGATCTTTAGCCTGTAATTAAAAAGACATACCATAGTAGGAAATCTCAACAGCCTAAAAGTCTTGTAGACAACACTACCTGTAGTACTTTCCTGGCCACTATAACCAAAATAATAATAAATATTAATGATGTTATCTCCTATTTAAAAAGACCCAGGGAATTCCCAAGATGTTTCTCATTATTTCCCAAACCTATACCCATTAAGCTAGTACTATCTTCTACATTGCTAAGATCATCCATGACTGCACCCAGAAAGAACTCTCCTGACTACCTTTATCAGTTTATGTTGACATTCTGTTGCTTTCCGCTTGAATTCTTCAGCAGCGAGCCGAGATTCCCTCAGCTCAGATTCATAGAGATCACTCCGTCTTCTGGCTGAGACAAGGTCCTCTTCCAACTGATTCATCATCAACCTCATTTCTTCCACTTGAGCCTGGTATTCCTAAAGAGCAGGCAATGGAATACAGGTGAACTCAGGGTCTCTGAAAAGAAATGGCAGACAGTGAAGACGGAAGGATATCAACCACACAGGAAGATGTGCATTGAGGACAGAGTGGCAAAGGACAGACCCACAGACATGGAGAGGAGGTGAGTGGAAACAAAGATCCAGAGAGACTTCAGATGGAGAAAGTGGAAGAGTATTGAGGGAAGAGGAGAGAGGAACAAACATTAAATCTTTAAACTGCTTTAACATAGAACATGCACCTTGAGTAAATGCATCAGGAACACATGAGCTGATAGTAAGATCCTCTGAACAAACACTGCCACACAATATGCATAGCATCTTAAGGTCTAACTTAGCAGGAAAGCTGGCAGCACTGTTCTTTAAATGAAGATAAACTGCTCATGTGTAGTTCTCCTCCAAGGATAATCATTTCTATAGATTTGTCCTTTAGAAGTCATGTGCTCCTAACACAATTAGATACGGTACTAGTTTTAAAATTAACCTTTCAGACAGCACCAGAGGGTAACTGGAAATCTCTATGGAAAACATCCAGGAAGGTGAAACTCATCATTGTCAGTTTCTCACCATTAATTTTTCTGGGGCCAAAACCGAAGGATGAACTTAACATTGCTCCTGCAATACAAGTCACCCTGAAATTTGGAAGAGTCACAAAACACTGGCTCTGGAGAAAATAACTTATGATAAAAATTCACAGGAAAGAATTATCTTGTTCCCTTGTAACAAACCCTTTAAAGGGGTCCAAACAGCCCAATCTTTTCCAAAATGAATTTCTAAAATCAAAAAAGAACATTTGAATTGAGATTTTTATTCACGAGAGGATTTACCAAAAGAAATGACAATGGTTTTGAAAACTTGTGGACCAAGAATAGAAATATTTTTCATTTATAAAATCAAGGCTAAGTATAAGGATTGTGAACAAACATCTATCTAATCCAAGATGACTGCAGTGAGAGGAGGAAACAAAATAAAAAGAACAGGGAATTAAATCAAGATTGTTTTTAACACTCATAAATCGCAATAATATCTCTAAGATCCACTCTCAAAAAATAAATGGAAAGGTACTAATTTAGCAAGGATTTTTTTTAGCCAATCAATTGCAATTTCTAATTTTTAATTATAGGTTATTACATAGATCTTTCATCTCATTTTAAGAGGTGATCTTCCAGTATACACTAAATGGGAAGTAATATTCTTGTAAAAAACTGGATGATCTTCATGTAAGCACATCTCTCCCTATGTTGTCAGTAGAGGGGAAGGTAAAACATTGAGTCCAGGTAGAGTGTGGGTCTCATTTTACTCCCTCCCAGCCAAAAGCACAGTTACTGAAGGCCAGTTCTCCGGATCATGGGCATACAGGTTTCCTGTGTGATGCACACTAAGCAGGTGATGCTAGATGATATAACCAAAGGTCTTAATAACTACTCACAATCATCTAAACCCTCAGAGTGGAATAGGGGCCATAGTGAAATAGTACACCCTTTACTTGGGGTTTTTCTAGAGCCTGGTGTTAGTGAACCTATGGCATGCATGTTATTTATTTTTAAGACAAAAGATGTTAATGTATGAGTTGTTTTTTCTAAACTAAAACCTCAGTATTCACGTTTAATTGCAGTGTTGGCACTTTGTGATAAATAAGTGGGTTCTGGGTTGCCGTTTGGGCACCTGTCTCTTAAAAGGTTCGTCATCACCATTCTAGACCCCCCTCAGCCAAGAATGTATTGTGACTTTCTTGGCTCTCAGCACTGGGCCTCTGTTGACCCCTTCCTCCATTAAAAATAATAATTACATATGTATATTACATAATACATTATGTATATATGTTTATTATATATGTATATGTATATAAAATTATATTTTACAATTGCCTTCATATAAACACAAAAATGTTTTGTATTGCCTATAAAAACAGTGCCTTTAACCTAACAACTCAATTTTTTCCTTTGAATTGAAAAAATTAAAACATTTTAGCCACCCTGGAAGACAGTGGTCCCTTGTCCCTGAGCCTGCTGTGTCCAAAGGAAAAGCCAGCCCTCCCAGAGCCATACACTCCAGTCTGAGAAAGTAGCAAAGAGCTGGAGGAAGGTCTTAGGCATCTTCTATTCTCAGGCTCCCTTTTCTTTCTGGAACTTATGTCAGCAAGGAAGGAATGTAATTTTTGTGTTTTGTCAAGAGCAAGGACAGAATGTCTATCCTCACCCCTACCATACCCTCAGCCCGACATCTTTCTTTCCAGAGCTGTCAGGCCCAAGGGGAAGGAAGACAAGGATCAGCCAACATCCCTGTCAGTTCTTGGAGCCCTTGCACACTGGGCCTGCCATGGATAGCAAAGGAATTCTAACTCATTTGCTGATCTCCAGTTATTATGCTAAGATTTCAAGGAAATCCTATAAATCCAACAGCTAACCAAATCCTGCTTCAGAAGAAACATGAAAGAACATAATCAGGTCTGTTTCTAAGGGCAGCTGAGCACGCTGTCATGTTTTCACATGGAATGAGTTGTGGGCATAAGTTGAACAGGTCAGAATGGAGAACCAGGGACAACTTTCATGGCCCATCTAAAGCAACTCTTCTGAATAAAGATTCAGAACTGGGGGGTCAGGTAGCACAGATGCATGGTCCCAATCATCCAGAAACCTTGTTGCAAATGACTTTTGTGTTACCCATACTTCTGTTTCCTTTCCTGAGAGGAGGATGGCTGAGGAAGACTCAGCAATTGCTACAATGGTGTATGAATCAAACTGAGACCTTTAGATGTTTTTATTGTAAACTACTCCATAAGGAGTAGCTAAGTCGAAGCAAACAAAATATTTTTTAAATAAACAGTTGTACAAATAATTAGTTTTTGAAAGGAAGAACAGAATTAATCCAAAATCTAGGAGGAATCAAACCAAATACAAGAAGTTTGCTGTAAGCATTAAAAGCTTTTTCCTGGTTTGCAAACATTCTGCTCTCATAAAACGTATCACAAGTCATTTTAATATAACCTTCTTTCAATGAGAAATAAAATCTGAAACCAAGAAGTCCACCCACCATGGAACTTTTAACAGTCATTAAATCTAAAACTCCACATGCATGCTGACTTGGTATGAATCATAAAAGACATTTCTTTGAACTCAAACACCAGCATACACCTTTTCAAAATGTCCTGATAATTCTATTTCTATGGAGTTCATGGACACCAGCTGCTCCCTCTGGTGGCCAAGTACAGCTTTCATTTCCCCAGGATGTCCCCAAAAGTAAATTGAACTAATGGGAGAAAAAGAATCCTACCACTTGAACCTTTAAGGATGAAAAGCTATGTTGATAAAAGGTGCATGAGTCACCTGTCAAAGCAGATTTCTCAAAGTATATGCATGTCCTTCAAATTCTCTAAGGTTGGTATTGTTCAGACTTGATAATCCATTTGTAAAGTTTCCTATGCACATTTATTTATAACATTTTTCTCAAGCAAGAGGAAATTAACCCATAATTTTAAAACACTAAGGTGACAAATACAGTATTCCACCAAGCCCCCAAAGACAAATCATTCTTTCTTTAAAGTGTAACTAATGGATGGAGTTATTTGTAGGAGTTTCTTGCATTTACGCCACACAGATGGCTAAGTTTGTGCTTCCCAGAGACAAAAATGCTCATTTTTATCAGTGTTTCCATTAGATTTTCTGAAGTGAGTGAGAGTTGCCTGGCAGCTGATAATTCAGCTCTCCAATTACTCACTGCCATCTCTTCATTAAAGTTTCTATTTACAGTTTCTTCAAAAGACAGAAAAATCCATGCTAAAAAGGAAACAATGAGGCAATATAAAAGTGAGCCATCTAGAAAGAAAACCCTTTTAGAAAGGGGGGTGAACAAGGGTGAGCTTTTTAAAGGCCTCAATTCTCTTTTCTGAACACACAGGGGAAGGTTTTCAGCACTCAGGTGTGCCGTGTCAATTTTGGCTTACCCTGAACAGCTCAAATTTTTCTTCTAGGAAATTTTTCTTCTTCTCAAATTTTTCTTATCTGTAAAACTATAAATTACTTTGACTTCTCTCAAAAAATTAAAGCGGGGCCGGGGATTTAGCTCACTAGTGCCACTACCTGCCTCGCAAGTGCAAGGTCCTGAGTTCGATCCCCAGTTAAAAAAAAAAAAAAATTAAAGTGCATCTGAAAAGCTATAAAAATATTTCATTTTCTTTAGAACCAATGTAAGCAGGGATTGGCCAACTTTTTCTGTAAAAAGTCAGAAAATAAGGAGTTTTCAACTTTACAGACGACACAGACTCGGGGACAACTGTTCACTTCCACATCTGTAGCACGAAAGTAGCTGTGACCAATAGGTTAATGAACGATCGAGGGGCTGTGTTCCAATAAAACTTCATTTATAGACACTGAAATTTGACTTTCATAACATTTTCTTGTCATAAAATATTATTTTTCCTTTGATTTTTTTTCCCAATCATTTAAAAATGGAAAACCCATTCCCAGCTTGTGAGCCACAAAAAATTAGTGGTGGGTCAGATTTGTCCCACAAGCTGAAGTTTGCTTACCCTTGCTCTAAAACAACATCTTTATTAATGCAGACTTCAAAAGGAGCTGGAATAAGCAAGTACTGTATGATTTATATAAACCATGGGAAATATAAAGTTTTCAAATTTTTGGTACTGGGGATCGAACTCAGGACCTTGTGCCTGCAAGGCAGGCACGATGCCACTGAGCTAAATCTCTGGCCCAGACCTACCTTTCTTGCTCTCCCTTTGCTGCCACCCTTTCTCCCCGACCCCTTCCTATCTCTCAGACACTCCTGAAATTAGAGGTCTGGGCTGGCCATGTGGCCATACCTGCTCTGGGCAAGCAGTCATACCTGCTCTTTGATTTCTTGGAGCTTCCGGCTCTGCTCTCTGATGTCATGGAGAAGCTGCAGTGCTTTGTCATCCTCCTGGGACACCTCCATCCGTGCTTGCTCCAAACTTCGCTTTAAGCTCTGCAGAAAGCAAAAATTTTAATAGGGATGCCCCATGGAGGCTGCTTTGGTTGAAAAGATTTGTTAAGAGAGCTGCAAGCTGCTTCGAAGACACCAGGATGGTTTCAGGTGATGAACCAAAGTCGATAACTTCCGGTTGGTTGCTGATTCCAGTTTTCATCCTGTGAAACCCCTTGAGTCAAGAAATATCATCTCGAGCTTTTGACCTTATGGATCCAGACTGAAACTCACCACCTACCTGTCCTCACAGGTACACTTACTTGTATGTTCAAGACTAAAAGCCAACAAGACCCCTTAGCTATTACAATCACTCTCTAGATGGATAGCTAGTCTTTTGTATAATATGAATTATTTAAGGACTCTCAAATATGGATCCTTCTTTCAAAGTAGAAATGACTTCATCTTCTACCCAATTAACTATCTCCACTTCCTGGCTAATTTTTCCTGGACACCTATCATCTATAAGTTTCCTTCAATCCTTCAATGGCACTGAAATAAATATCTGAAATACACAGCTGAACAACTTCACCCACCACTGAAAGGCAGCCAAGTCTGGAATGGAAACATAGCAGTTATTCTGAATCAGCCACGCTCTATAGATTTCCTCTCCCTTGTGAGAAAAAAAAAAAAACTTTAAAAATGTGTGATTCAACTTCTTAAGACTGTTTAATTGGGCACATTAAAAAAAACACCTGAATGAAAAATTTAACAAGACAATGGAGAAGACAATCTACTCTTGTGAAGGAAAGAAAAAACAAAAATCATATGGTAAATAATGACAGAGGGTCTGAGTTTTAAAGGCTGAGTTTCTTGTCACTACATTGTTTCTAGTGAATGGAAAGCTGATTTGAGGCAAGTTTGAAATACATTTTCCTGTACACATTTGGGAGTTTGGTGCCCAAAGCTGATCATATTGGACGTGGTGTAGGCCAGAAAGGCTGGGATGGGAGAGGTCAAGATCTTTGCCACTCGCTGCAATGACAGCTGACTCCCATCTCCGGGCTCCATCGTACCAGCAGCCTATCTGGACTTTCTGTTGCAAATGAGTCCAACCTCATTCTTGGGGACCTCACACCTGGCTCATACTACTCTGCAAATCACGGATCTTGCTTTTGTATTCTCCCTCTCTCTACTCTCTGCCATTGGCTGTGATGTGCCTCATGGAGCCATCATGAAACAGGATGAGACACACACAACAGGAAGTGCCGCCTCCGAGGAGGGGGGCTTTGGGGAAGGCTCACACTGCATTCTGTGATGTAGGTAGCAAGGTCCTGCTCCAGTAGGGATCTCTGAGTCTCAGAGGCCTTCAGCTCCACCTCCTTCTGACTAAGCACAGCCTCCACCTCTGACACTCTCCGATGTAACCGGGTCATTTCCTGCTCCATCTGAAATAAACACATCGACAGGTTAGAAAAGCCCTTGGATGTTCCTTAGGAGCAATCAAATCTCAGGCAGCCCCGAGACCACCTGATGGTCTGGGCTACTGCTATTGCCAAGAGCTGGGATGGAAATACCATTGTTTCTTCGCCCACGAGAGCACAGTTCTTCGTAAGGACAGTCACCAAATGCTAAGTCACTCCTCTCATCCAAGTCTCGCTTCACACTCGATCACTTCTCTAACCCAGTAAGCAAGGAAGCCAAAATCATCATTTTTCACCTGTTTGCTTTTTTGCGTTTTTTGTTTTGTTTTTTTCTGCAGACGTCACTTTAATTTTATCCCAAATCCATCTTGCTTCCCCCCATCTCCTTGATAAGATCTAGAGGACAAATCCAGGACAGGGCAAGGAGATATTTATTTGTCTGCACTTTGAGGAGTCCCAGGCAAGCAGTGGCTTTTATCAGTTTCCAGAGAGTTGCCTCTGGGCAGGAACAGTGAGTGTTAACAGACGTTGAGCATAATCAATACAGTGGCCGCAGTGACATAAGCAGGAGTTTTAAAAGACTAGGAAGAGAGACTTCGAATCACTCAAAGCAGATAGGATGCATCTCAGCCACAGGTGAGGACCCACGCCACCTGCCGGAAGAAGTAGACATCGGGCTGGGTCATTCTGAGAAACGGGCCGTTTTAAATCCAGGGCCTCCTCTGTTTAAGATTTAAAGGATTTACAGCAATGTCAAGGCCCAAATTCATCTCCCTCTGAGCTGCCGAGGCGCGACTTCAGTGAGGGAAGGAGCGCCTTGCTCTCTATGGATCAGGAGGCTCAGCGTCAGCAGTGGCCCAGGGCGGATCCCTTGGCATATATTGACGGGAGGATCCTGGAGGAAGGAGGGAGGCCGGCTGCGGAGATAAATACCTTGTGACACTTGTCCTGAGAGTCTTGCAGCTCTTTGCTTTTGATGAGAAGTTTCTTTTCCATGGAGCTAGTCTTGGCAGGGGAGTCCAGACTCGATACAACAGACCTAGGTAGAAAAAAACCAAGGTCAAGGTGGTCAGCAGGTAAGCCCAAGAAGCTGATAGACCTGCCACTGTTCTGTGGCCACCAGCAAGGCTGACTCAAACTGCTTCTGATGACATGACAACAATAAGGCTGGGAGGCAGAAGGAAGAAAGGACTGTAGGAGTGGGCAGACCTGGTGTAAATCATTTGTCTCTCGGAGCCTCTGCTTGCATGTCTGTAAGGTGATGATTAATGATAGTAAAAGAACCTCCCATTGGATATGGTGGTACATGCCATAAGCCCAGCACCCCGGAAGGCTGAGGCAGGAAGATAGTGAGTCCGAGCCCACCTTGGGCAACTTGGCAACTTAGCAAGACCCTGTCTCAAAATAACTATTTAAGGCCGGGGATTTAGCTCAGTGGTGCCGCTTCCTGCCTCACAAGTGCAAGGTCCTGAGTTTGATCCCGGGTACCAAAAAAAAGAACTATTTAAAAATGACTGGGGATGTAGCTCTGTGCAAAGGCTCTGGGTTTAATCCCTGGTACGGGGCGGTTGGGGGGAACTCAGGAAAGTGTGAATATTAAATGCTCAGCACTGCACCTGACACAACTCTATCTGCTTATACACTCAACAGGTACGTGCACCCATTCTGTTCCAGTAACCGTCCCAGGCACTGGCATTTAGCAGTGGACAAGACGTGCAAGGTCTCTGCCCTCCTAAAGCTGACATTCTATAGAGGACAGACAGCATGCATTAGGCAGACTCAAAAACCAAAGGTTACAGATCAGGATAATATCCATGAAAGATGGAAACAGGATGCCATGATGGGATGGAGGAAATGGGGCTGAATACCTGTTAGGCAAAGGTAATCAGGAAGGGCTTCTCAGAGGAAGTGATACTTGAGATACCTAAAGGATAATACTGTGCTAGCCACACACAAAGCTCTAGAAGAAACAAACTCTAGGGAGAGGAAGTAAAGATGCAAAGGCCCTGATTCAGGACAGAAATACAAGTGCACAACAAATGTTGTCAGTTACTATACTGATCAAAATATTGTTTATTCCCTCCCCACACTAGCCAGTTTGGTTGTTTCATCTTATAAAAATAGCTTATGAAGGCCGGGGACTTAGCTCAGTGGTTCCGCCTCCTGCCTCTAAAATGCAAGGACCCAAGTTCGATCCCCAGTACCAAAAAAAAAACAAAAAAAATTTTTTTAAAACAGCTTATGATGGTGGGCTAAATAATGTCCCCACTCTCTGTCCCAAAGATGTCTATGTCCTGATCCCCAGAAGTTATGAATATGTAACCACCCTTGGCAAGACGGGCTTTGAAAGTTGTGATGAAATTAAAGATCTTGAGATGGAGGGTTATCCTGGATTATTTGGGTAGGTCCAGTGTAATCCCAAAGATCCTTATAAGATGAAAACAGAGGAGGAGAGATGTGACAATGGAAGTTGGGGCAGAGTCAGAGATATGAAGATGCTACACTACTGGCCTAGAAGATGGAGAAGAGTCCACAAGCCAAGGAAAGGGGGCAGCCTCTAGAAGCTGACAAGGAGACTGGTTCAGTTTTGGCCACACTGATCTCAGCCCCACAAGGGCTGAAGATAATAAATTTGTGCTATTTTAAGCCACCAAATTAGTGAGGATTTGTTATGGCAACAACAGGAATCTCATGCACTTATTGAGTCCCAGCCACATACCTGGTTCTGTTCAAATGGTAAATGTGTTTTAACTCTTTTCTCCCCACAACAACCTCATGAAACACATATAACTTATTATCCTTATTTACTAGATGGAGAAACAGATGCTTAGTGAGGTCAAGTAACCTGCCAGTTGACAATGGTTTCTTTTGATCTCAATAGGGAGTGGGGAGAAAAAGACAGGCTTTATATACCTGATATAATTCTCATGAAAAGAATACAAAAATAAATTATAGCGCACCCAGGGTATGAACTAGAAGGATGCTCTCCCACAGAAGGATACCCCTACATATCTATGTAAGTGGCACATGGTACCTCATCCCTAGAAGCAGTTAACTATGAGTAGGGATGAGTTCCCCTTCGTGAAAACCTTCTCTGCAGTGCCATCCTGGGTATAAACACAGGGATCGGTGAAGGGCAGGGCCAGGGTGACAACCAGCAAAGGTTCTTACACATGGAGGGATATGATGGAGCACTCTGCCATCCCACAATCCCATTTTCATTCCCTTGGTAACAGGACTGCAGGAACTGGTTATCAATGTATACTCGGGTCTTACCATCAGGTAGAAGTTCTGTTTTTTGCTGCTCACACTACTTCCCAGCCTAAAAGAGGTCAGTTCCCTGCAGCAATGTAAAACACCTTTCTCCCCACAGCTCCCAGCCCAATGCAGAGGGCCAATGTGACAGTGCTGGTTGGCTGTACACCAGGGACAGCTCTCTATGCTCACACTATAGGGCAGCCAAGTGAATCAACACTCAGACTCATACTGCTTTGTTCAAAATCTGACCTTGCCACTAAAGAGCTGTGTGACCTCAATTAGCCTCAATTTCCTTATCTGTAAAATGGAGATAATTCTCAGCCTACTTCAAAGAGTGCTCGTGGGGCCGGGGATTTAGCTCAGTGGTTCTACTGCCTGCCTCGAAAGCGCAAGGACCCAAGTTCAATCCCCAGTACCAAAAAAAAAGAGTGCTTGTGGCAAATAAGTGAGGTAGTGCACATAATGTCCTTGGCACACTGCAAGGCTTCCATAAATGCCAACTTTTACTATTATCATTGTTGCTTTTATTCTTACTACCCATGCAACTTTGTAAATAGCACATGCCTCACAGGCCTAAAACAGTTGCTTGAAATGGTAACTCAGGGGGCTGAATGTGCTCTGTGTTATTATTCACATTGAAACAAATGGTGATTATTCATAGAAATGGGCAATAGGGATTGAAATAAATAAATCTTTTTTTAAAATCTCATGTTGGGCTAAAAATTTTAACACCTCCACCAGCCTATTTTCTAGCCAAAATATACACACGCACACATGTATGCGTGTACTTTCTTTTAGTTTTCATATGAGATAAAGCGGATTGCTCAGCATGGCCTTGAGCTTACTTCACTATTTGCTTTATTCCTAATTGTACTCTGGTGGGTCAGCTAGAAATCAAAACCCAAACCACCCAAGGGAGAGAGGGACGATCCCAGGTCCTTCCATAACCAAGGGTTACCACATGGCATTAAGTCATGTGCACAACATGTGTCAGAGACAACATGGGCCACAGCTTTCTGTGCCTGCACAGAAAATTGACCCTCTTTTAGAAGAACAATCACATGGGTTCATGATGATGGGGTGGGAGGTGGCTCACAAAATTTAATGATACATGGAGGGCAGGCTCCAGCAGTGCTTCATGCTTAAAGTGCAGGGCCGTGGATACAAAACAGATTGCTTACTCAAAAAAAAAGCGTTTCTAGGTCACTCATTAATGGGGCCCAGAATGGAGATGTACAGCCAGCACTCGTTACACCCTCCTTGTCACCCGAGGTCCAACTCCCTCATTCTGCTATTTTGATGCCTGACAAATGTTCACTGTTTAGAAGTTCTAAGTACAGCAATTAAGAGCTCTTCAGTTTAAATATGCTAAAGAAATCGTTTTTTGGAATAAATAAAAATCACATCTAAAAAAAGCTGTGGTTAAGAATGTTGTGACTAAACTGAGCTTGTAGCAACAGTCATATAAATAATGATGGGATTGGGGGATGGGCCTGGAGCATGGAGGGGAGAGGTCAACGCAGCTTTCTGTAACTTCCCTGGTCCACATCCCAGCTGCATGTTAGCATTACCTGGAGAGTTTTAACAAGCACAGATGTACAGGGTCAACTCAGACCAATTAAATCTGAGACAGACAGACTGGGAGTATGGCCCTGGCAGCACCAGTTTTATTAAGTTCCCAAGTGATTGTAATGGACAGTCAAAATTGAGAACCATGGTGCTAATTAGAAGAAAGTGCTTGTGACCTACAGTCTAGACATTTAAAAGACTTAGACTCATTGTAAGACTTAGCTTTGGGTTCCATGCGGCATTCTGGCCACGCTATTTGGTGACAGTGCCTCGCTGCCATTCCTCAGGTGGTAACCCAAATTTACTGTTAATCATGGTGGGCTATAAATTTCCAGGCAAGGTACAAGTGTGAGATAATGATTAAGTGACTGTCCTAAGTCAGTTAAAATACTATAACATTTCTTTGCATTTCTAGAAAATAAATATACTAAACACAGGTATGGCTCAACTTTAATCATCATATAGGCACTTAAGGTAATTGAACTGTGAGCATCAATGACAAGCTCTCAAATGTATGTCTTAGGCAAACAGATCCACATCCCAACAGACATTCTGAAATATTATCACAATTCATTTTTTTCTAGAGTTTTTATTAGCCATCCTTCTGACTGTCAAAGCAACAGCAAACTACGGTTGATCAATGCAATATTCTAGAATTGACCTTAATGTAAATCACAGCTTGAGGGGTCCTATCCAAGACTGTCCTCAGAGCCACCAAACTACGTATCACCAAATACAGCTCTCTGATCTTCAAGCAACAACTTGCTGGTCTAAAATCTTCCTAAAATATACCACCGCAGCTATATAGGCTGAGGTAGGAGGACTGCAAGTTCAGGGCCAGCCCAAGGAACTTAGCAAGACCTTACCTCAAAATTAAAAAGGTTGGTGATGTAGCTCAATGGTAAAGCTGTCTGGCATGGCATTATTTAAAGGCTGACACTATTGTTGCTTTAAGTAAAGTTTGCAAAAACTCTTGTAACAGCTCTAAGGCTGGGGCAATGTGGTATAGAACTACAGGAAAAAACCAATCTAATTAAAAAGTTCTACTGCCCTGGCATGGGACAGATCCTACCTGCTAACTAAAAGGCTTCCAAAATTCTTGAAATTCTCAAACTTCAACAAATAATTTTTGACCACCTTCTTTCTATTACTGTGAAGGGAGAGTTAATATATACAAGGGAGAAGATAAAAGTCCTATGATCCCCAGGAGCA